CGTCAAGGCGTGTATCGCCTTACGTTGTCTTCGTCTGGGTCTCTTATTAGCGTTTGGCGTCTGTTTATTATTTAAGTACTTTAGCTTAAGTATGGTAGTGACCATATAGTGGACGGAGTTAGCCTCCATAGATCGATTGTCGTGTATGTCACAGGTCATTAACTTGGAATTATTTCCTAATAACACTAGGTCCATCATATGTTCCGTTTGGGTCTTGGGGTGTACCCAGGTGGAAGTATTATGTGCTGGTTTATTAATGAAGGTATTCATTAATCGCAGACTTGATGTTTCGCATAGGTTTATTAGTCTCATGCCATTTGTTGATGTCTCTTGTTCAAGCTTGATAGCTTTCCCTACGATACTAGAATAGTAAGCGTGAAAATCCAGGCCTAGCCTACAGTTGAAGTCACCTAGTATGATTATGGGAAGTTTATTTATTTTAAGTTTCTTAATTGTGTTATTCAGTTTAAGATAGAAGTTTTCTTTACTGATATCATCATAAGAAGAATCATTTGAGGCATAATAACCAGTAAGGTTGATGGCCTGGTTAATGATTTTGCTATGTATCTTAATGGTAGCTATGTAGTGGTATTAGACCATAACCTCACAATCTTCAAAGCTGAACACAAGACTACTCAGAAAATAGATATTCAATATTTAACACGGAGAAATACCTAAGAATGGAGAAGGCGCAAACAATGATTTGAATGAATTGGAGTTGATCGAATGGCATGGCTCGGCCATGAAGGCGTGGTCCCTGCTGAATATTACCTTATATCTTTTATTCATACTAAATATATTGTTCTTCTCTAGCCTAAGCTCGTTCTTCATCATGTATTGGTAGTTGCTGTAGACGATGACGTGACTTCCACGTAAGATCTTATAGATTAGGCAGTTATATCATGACAAATCTACAATTTTAGGATTAGGTCTATTATTAGAGCAGTACTAATATCATAGTAGACCATAATTCCACAGCTATTCTACCATATATCTCCTTAAAGTTGGTGGCAGAAATCATTGACTGTTTATTAATGATGAAGCCGACACCAGTGTTCCGGTAGTCATTTATGTCAGGATTAGAGTTGAGGAAAGTGGTGTTTTTGTCTATTTTGATGGTTTTGGAGACCATTCTAGTTTCAGTAATCACTGCTATGTGGTACTTACGTTAGATAACTTGTTCTGCAACCAGTTGGAGCTTACCCTCTTGAGAGCAACCCCGGACATTTTATAAACCAAGTTTTAGTTTTTGTGAACTTTTTGTCTTTTTTCGGACCACTAATAATTGTGCAATTATTCTGGGTAGTTTTCATATTCACGTTGAGTGGGTGATTAGCCCGATCTCCACCACTCGGGTTATCGCTCACGTTGGTTCATGAGACACTCGTCTCACTATCCAGGAGGCACGACGTGGACGTATGAGTCGGATTTTGCCTCTTATGTCGTAATTTTTCTATCACTATCGCTATCGTAAATTATCAGCATATTCCTTTCTCATTTCTTATAATCTCCATTTACTCATTATTCTCACAGTTTTTTGTGCTCACATCTTCGGACATTTAATAATAAGAATGATAATAATAATATATTTCTGCATGTGCAGGTACCCTAACTGGTATTGTGACAGTTGCTGATTCCAGAAACCTATTGTCCTGAGACTAACGCCCTTGAACAGATTACAAAACACACAAATCCCCAAATAATTACTGAAATCACTAAAACTAGTACAGTTCAGTAGCTAGACCACTCACTGTAAAAGCCATCAGTGACTTGGATCTGGATAGAAACAACAAAGAGTGAAAGAGCGAACATGTCGTTTGACTTACAATAGCCAGTCGTAAAAAACATTGAATATTGGATAAGGAAACCAAATTATTTTTGATTGTCCATAAATATCAATAAGGTATGTCTAAACAGTTAATCACTGCTGTACGAGGATGATGGACTCAAGTTCATACGTAATAATTAACATCAGAAGTTATGGGCCAAATCGGAAGTAGTTGATGATCGGTGATGGCATATAGCCCTACTCTTAACATCTCGCATTAAGAAGAGTTAAAGATTATGTTCCACACTAGACTGAAGGGAGCAAAAGGATCATAGACCACAAATGAACTGGATCCAACTGTTAGGAATGAAGTTAACAAAGTTACATGACCGACAATGAACCTACTAGTTGGTACTAAACTCCAAGTATTTAGAATAAACAAGAACTAGCAAACTACGTATATTAATCTTGACAGCACTTCAAAAGACATGCAGCAAGTTAGGATACATTTTTCTAGTCTGCTATAAGTTTCAAGTGTGAGAAAGTGTAGGCTATTTCCCAATTTTATGTAAAACAAACACTTCCTCCACAATCTGCTACATTACATACATTACGGAAGTGGGAAAGACAGTGATATATTTATAATAATGTTGAAGATGTTATGGGTATACAGTGCTTGAAAACACTGTTGTCACCAATGTCCCAAACAGCCAGTGAAACGCCATTATGCCCTGGCCAAGTCATCCGGCAGTCGGGCCACTGAGTGTAGAACATTTCACCAATCCTCCCCAAGGCCAAGGACAAATAACGCGCATTAATCTGCTGCACGCCATGGACTGGCTCACCCATCGGTGGTTTATTGTACCCACACTTACTAATCTATTTCTGTGATATAATTTGTGTTGTACGGTCATCAAAAAGCCATAGTACCTGAATACGAGAAAGGGTAATCTACATTAGGCATAACTTAGGCTTGAGTTTGCCGTTAGCTGGTTGGCCATGCCATCTCTAACAAACTGTAGTAGGCCCCCAAGCATCGACATAGATCACATAAGTTGGCAACCTATATACTCTTTAGCCGAAGATTCTAAAGACAGTCAACTCGAAACTCGGAAATGAAAGGGCACGAAGATATACCTAGAAAATATTCGGTGCGTCAAGAACTATCTTGTCAAACTTGACTAGCTTTAGTGAGAGGTGCGTAGCACAGCATACCCAGTAGTGATCCGTGCGAATGCCTGACCAAAAGCCTTTGACTTGGGGCATGTCCAGAAAAAGTAATTAAAAGAGCATCAACAACGAAAACTTGCAACACAATTTAATTCGAGGATATACTTATTACTCTAAAATACTTTCTTGCATAACATTACTTTGTGGACTAAATATCTCACGTTATTTTGAAGTTTTTCTGTATTATAACATCAATGGCTCCAGAATGACTGGTTGGTAATCATGGACGTAAAAGATGTGGAAAACTAGTGGAAGACAAATGTACTTTCTTATGTGCACATAAATTGGGGTTAAATGTACGAATTCCTATGGCTTCAGCTATATGTATGAGACGATATCTGATATCCTTGGGAAACGATTGAGGTATACGATAGATTACTCGAAATGATTTCGATTTATCTACATTATGACCGCTATCAATTAGATGTGCCAAGACAGAAATGCGTATTGTTTTTATCTGGTCGTTCACAAACCATGCTGGTAGATGTTCGCTCATTCGTTGGTTAAGTTGCCTGATAGTACGCCCAATGTATGTGTACAGAAGAAATTCGTGACCCTCTTATCACTTTCATGACCAGATATAACCTGATAAACGACTTTTTTGTTATCATTAGCATTATTTTCACATCCTATATTTGTATGTGATTTTCCAAGTCTTTCCATTTGTATTCTTTGTTATATAATTATTTACACACTTCTTATTACGTAATGGATTTAATGTTTAGTGATGATTTTTTCAAGTCTACTTATCCATGTTTGACCCACTATTTCCAGCGTTGAATTATTGATAAGACTTTTGTTATTATTATTCTTACTAATATCAGTAAACCTGTCTTCATACTATCAACTTGTACATTTGCCTATTATCTGAGATGACGTAATGTACTTCATTGTGACTATTGACTTAAATTGCCTTTGTTGGTTCAACATTTTCGTATAAATGCTCATGTACTTACTTCCGATAACCAATCAATAAGTGTGATAACTACAGGGGCATCACTCTTCTTTCAATACACGGAAAAGACTTCAACAGGGTATTGTTAAAAAGAATGAGGGACTCCGTAGACAACCAACTTCGAGACCAACAGGTAGGATTCCGTAAGGATAGATCGTGTACAGACCAACTCCGGACTCCACGGATCATTGTTGAACAATCAACTGAATGGAATTTATCACTCCACATCAACTTCATTGACTACGAAAAAGCAGTTGATAGAGTAGACGACACAATGGAGGCTTCTTCGAAACCACGGCTTGACTGAGAAAACAGTCAATATCATACGGAATTTTCATGATGGATTAAACTGCAAAATTGTGCATGGAGGACAGCTGAAAGACTCGTTTGAGGCAATAGAGACAGGCGAAACGTTGGATTTACTTAAAATTCATTCGCTGAGATTTTACAAATATATTCTTCTTTTTAAGTACAACAAATGTTTAACTGCATATATTACTTAGTTTCTTAGATCTTTGCACTGCATAACTTTGCGAACTGTATAAAAACAAACACCAACGTAGCCTGGGGATTACCTTTCACAGTTACTCTTAATAAGCGATTGTTTACGGCACTCACTTTAGTCACAGAAGCCTGACAAATGTCCACAACTCTTAAACGGGTCTTACAAAAGCTCTTAGAATATTGGAGTACAAATGACTGCCATCAGACGTGTGACTTGCTTAAAATATGTCCTGTTAGAACTACAGCTGTGAAAACATGTTGTATCAACTTCTAAGTAGAGTTTTATGGTTGTCCTACAACTTCTATGTCCAAATATCCTACATGTAGCCATTACTTGTAAACACTCACAAATCAAATCACCACAACATGAAATATTATTTGGTTTTATCGAATAACTACTAGGAAATCATGTAACTTAACTCAATGGTTAATTAATTTCTCTAGACAGTGATTTGTTCTATCTGTTGAATTCATAAGCAAATAGTTACTCAGAGCTAAACAACTTGCCACTTTAATCAATAAACATAACCAAACAGTCGACTAAAATATCATGTATTTTACAGTTAAATTTTTTAAATTATTAAATGTATAGAAAATTTTATCTTCCGTAGTGTTAACTTAACAGAGATTCCGTAGGTTCAACTGTAGTAACATCCATTTCTAGTCTGTTATTTTCGAATTTCAGTTTATTTTCCAGCAAATAACGTACTGGTTCTAAATCCTGTTGAATCTGAAAACAAAGCGATGTGGTATTTAAAAATAACACTAATTGGTCAAACCATGCTTTTCATTTTATGCTATTGTTCTGAATTATGTTTAGATAGTAGGTATCATTACCAAGTTTTGATTTGATAATTTCGAATAAATTGAGCATTGGGTTGATTGTTATAAATAAAAATAATATATTTGTAATATCTCAATGAGTAGAAAATAGGATTTTCTGACATTTCGTGATTTAGTGTAAGTCACTTCTACAGAGAATAAATAACCAAATTAAAATTAATCCAAGTTTAAATACTAGTTCCGTTGTACTATTTAAACTTCGATTAATTTTAATTTGGTTATTTATTCTCTGAAGAAGTGACTTAAACTAAGTCAAAAAACGTCAGAAAATCTAATTTTCTACTCATTGGGATATTACAAATATATTATTTTTTTTATTTATGTTTAGATAGCTTCACAAATCAATGGAGTATAGTAACCGTTGACAAACTAATTCTAGATAACCAGTTATAATGAAACTGTTAGTATCTTAGAATACCTCGATTATGTTTAACAAATTCAGCTTTCTATGAGACGGACGTACATAAAAATATTGCAGCAGCCATAAAACGTTGAGTTGTCTGCGGCAAAGTACTTATTTAGTAAACTTCATTTTATAATAATTCTTAATTCTATGGGGAAAACTTATTTAACAGATCCTTTAATAATGCATTCCCATAAGGTAATCACCCGTTAAACCAGTTTTTTTCTTCTACGTTATTAAACTACAAGCTAGGTGACATGAGAGTTCACAACTGAACGACACCAGAATAATTGGTTAATGTTCTAATAAAGCATGCCCAACACTGTAGTCTTTAGAACTGATTAGAGTTGATATGAGTAGTGACACTTACTGATGACATACACTGAACTGTGTAAAAACATTTTGAATGCTTCACTAGATAATGAAAGCTAAATTAAGATTTTTATTTCCAATCAATAATCGCGACAATCTGAATTTTGCGAGGAAATCTCATACAATTCACTCCTATATTTCCAATACAATCCCTTAAGTGGTCAGTATAACTAAAACTGCTTATTACAAAAGATTCTGTATCCAAGTTTTTATAATATATATGATTTTCGCTTTACCACACGGTGTATTCACGCTTTATTGATTTCCCTAGCGAAGTTATCATGAAAACATTTTAAGTCATCCAAATATTTGTGGATATAAACCCCTCATTAATGTTATTGATTGGATTGAAATTTATTTGTCCGACGTAAAAGGTATAGAAATATCATACATGGAGAAAATATGTCCATTACATACTTGAGGAAATTCCGTTACCAACTGATCTATAATTGCCATCAAACTTCTTGAACGATTAATATGTCTGGTTCTCTCATTTTCAGCGGAAGTAGCAGAAGGACAGAGACGACGATATTTATCTTGTCTTATTTGTTCCCAATAAACTGTAGCATGTTGACGCATTTGAAGCTCAAAAAGATCCTGAATTTGTTCACAAAATTATATTAAATTCAAGTATTTATTGGGCCGAGAAAAAAGTTAAATAAAAGACATTATCTTACCGTTTGAATAAGATATTTGACTTATTAAAAATAAAATGAAATACCTATTGAGTGATGCATCTCTTTCATTTGTCAAGTTAGCTCTCATTCCTAGATCTTCAGTCACCAATCAGAACCATAGTAACGAAAGCATGTAAATTAGTTTCATTTATTGGTTAAAACACTGTACAGCTTTCATTAAGTTACTGAATCCTCACAGTAGTAAATACGTAAACAATAAATCAAAATTTTTCCACTACAGAAGCAATGAAACCTGTAAGTGTACGGTCAGATTATGATGCTTATCAGATTACAAGGTTTATCAGTTTTCCTAAATAATTATTAAAAAATATTGCTAAGAAATCCCATTAACTTGAATGTAAGTATATCCACACTAAAGTCTTCATTATACATACAATTCACACACAAATATTTTCATTTAAAAAATTAATCATCCTCCACAAAGTCTTCATTACCGAATTCTCTGAAGAGATAGCAAGATGGCAAATCATCGATGGGAATTTCCACAATTTCCACTTACCCAACGGATCTGTTATTGTCAGTGAACCCTCAACAAAGTGATTTGTTCGCGATTTCACTTGAAAAAAGTAATTTGAAACAAAAACTAATTGATTTACATTTTAAGTTTAATATCCATATAAAGAAGTAAGAGTTTAACGTGTCAGACACTGTTATTCTCACTCTTTGTTGAAGAAAATGAATTTGTTTTATCAATTAAAAAATTTTGAGCATCCAAAAAGTTGTTGCTAATCGACTGTCCATATCATGTAAGATAAAAATCATTTGTTTTTGGACTTCGTGTAATAAACCGAAAGTCATTTTGTGGATTCTGATTACTTCAGTTCTAAAGAAAGGTTACACAAAATGATTTAAAGTAAACGGAAGATCGATGTTTTGTGGAATAGTTTTTCGAAAAATGAATTACGTAGTAATATAATTCATTGTATTCGAACGAGTACTTTCAATGAATCTAAACGAGAATTATTTATTTTGCCGTAAAACTATATGTATTTACAACATCGGACAATCTATTATCCTAACTATAGTAATTAATGACGTTTTCTGAATACTGTAACAGGAAAAATATATGGACTAGTTAAACAGAATCGAGAATGTGACTTTTAGGTTATTGTGCAAAATGTAAATATAATGTAAAACGGACAGTACAAATACCTAAGCACAATGTTTAAAACATTTAAAATTATAGCTGAAAATTATTTTTTGCATCCCTTCAATTGAAATTACTGATAGTGTTCAGCGTACCAAAGGCTTAATTCGATCTCTTTACCTTGAATAAAACTAGCAAATCGACACTACAATGCCTATTCATGGATATTTCCTTAAATCCTACCACTCGACCATTATACCTTAGACTAAATTTAACCTAGTGACACTACATTTTAAGGATAAATTAATTAGATAGGGCCTCCGGTATTTTTGAGAGAAATTCACTCATTCATATGGTGGTGGAGTATCTTGACGTTACACCTGATCTCATTTTGTGATGAAAACCTTAACAATATGAGGACTGTCCAAAATCTATTTGGGTTATTTGTAGCGCTAGGAAAAACTGGTAATCTTTATTGATAATGACGAGTTTTTAAGACGCTTTTTTAATTTACTGGAAGATTAACCTGTAGATTTTAACAAATTGAATAATTATGTAAAATCTATCTACACTTTGCAGTATTATTGTTTACTTTATACAAAATAACAATTTATAACTACTGTTTCCTGATTACCTAGGAAATTGTGGAAAATTAGTAGTGATTGTTTTGAATTTGTTCTCAAACTATAGTCTCTCAAAGCAACAATGTATGCCCGATATATCTAACTGACTAACCTTCTCTCTACCTGTCCCTGTGTAATATTGTGTGTTGGTCATTATATCTCAAAAATAGTATTTCGGAAATTTGGCACAGAACTTTCAACTCATCATTATAGCTGTGTAGAGAGCTTATCGAGCTGTAGATGCTTGTAGCTCCCTTCATATATATATATATATATATATATATATATATATATATATATATATATATATATATATATATATATATATATATATATAATGGGACAGATAGAGATAAGGTCAGGAAAACAGGAAAACTGAGTATGAAAACTTTAAAAAAATGACCGGATTAACATTGAGCTTGATTTTACTTATCCAGCTGTGTTAGTCATAAAGTGAATAAGAATATGAATTAGTTAATAAAAACGGAAAACGTTAGTAAAATCCAGTGTGTTATTAACTAAAAATAATTAGCATTAAACAGTTTTTTGTAATTACATTGTCAGATTCAAATAATTTCCCAATTTTTCCAAAGAACAAATACATACTAATCTGATTTAATATTCGATAATTTGAATATAAGTGATTTCTTCAGAACACTAAATTTTCAATTATTTATTGAGCTACTATTGGTATGATAATCATATAACTTGCCCAATTGAAATGAGATAGTGTGTTGAATGAAGAAAGACTATGATATTTAATTCGTTAAATATAGGCCTTTACCATAATTTCAACAATTCTAATGTTGAGATCAGAAACCAAAATTAATTACATCGAATTATCTAAATGAAACTTTGAACACGGACAACTTACAATCTGTTTCTGGTCCGATAGTGACTGCAATTTTTTCATCAATTCATCAGCTTTCTTTTGCTCAGCTTCAGCATCAGCTTTCTTTATACGTAATTCATCTTCCAACATATTAGTTTTCTCTTCAAATTCTTCCAGCTCTTTTGTACAAGACGCAGAATTCTAAATTTTGTTTGTTATTATACACAATGAAGAAAATAATCAGTCAGTGTTGATGTGTTTTGATATCCTTAGGGAAATTAAATAAAATGTTTAAAATTCACACAGATGATTAATAAGGGATAATTTGAATAATTATAATACACTGAAAAAAAACTTCGACATTTTAAATTTTCCCATCGATTTAGCTTTTCTTACATTCTCTAGAACAGATAAAGGTGGAGACTAAGAAACCAGTAATCACTCATTTTAATGCTGTCAGAATTTGATTCAACCAAGAGACTCGTGTGTATGGTTTCTAGCTTTCAAATTTTATAGGCTGTTGGAAAGTTCTTAAATGTTCTATTTTTTGTTCAAACTCTTACATTTACTTGATAGCAGTTCACTATGAACCAGCAAAATTCTTTTACTGCAGTTACCTCCCCATCCCCTTAGTGGCCTCACAAAGTTTTAATGTGTTCATTTTCTATTTGTTACGAAAGGGTCACAGATAGCTTATGTATGTAGATCAGCTGACTCATGTTTTCGGCATTCTGAGGAAACAGTAAACGTTCCTTTGCAAAATAACCATTTATTCTTTTTATTTATTGTTTGAATTAGGACAAACTTATCTTTGGATTGTTATAGTGTACTTAGTTCGTACAGTAACATCGGTAACTCTTCCTTCTAGAGTAAAAAAACGTTCTGAGCACAGTTATCAAGTAAAATAATTTTAAGATTGATGAGCATGAGGCCTTAAATCTACTTACCTTGATAACACTTGTTAAAACTAGAAGTGACATTGATCACAACTTTTTGTTTTCAAGTTTAATGTCAAACTAATGAGATACGAATGACAAAACACAATCCTTTTTACCTCTAATGTTTCAGAGGTATAGAATTACCCACCTGTTTGATAGCTTTTAACTTCCGTTTAAGTTCATCAATATGACGTTGAGCTGTAATGCGAATTTGTGATTTGTCCTTTCTAGACTGAAGAACATCCGACTGATTAACAATCGTATCACGCCTTTTATTTGTTTAATGAACCGGAAAATAAAAGTACGTTAAGTCGGTATGGTTAGTGGAATACATAACTGTATGACAATATTTGCTAATAAATATAAGAGCATTTACAAGTGAATATTTACTGAGGCACTACTCAATTTCATGTCTTTTTAGTGTTGATCACATTCTCTGAGTCACCACACAAAGGATTAGATAGACATAACATTGATCACTACTCAGTGATTAATCAATTATGAATATCTCAGTCCTGCATCAGGTTAGTCACAGTACAAATAGCTCAGTGCCAACGTATCCGCCTTTAAAGTTGAGTAATACGGTATCGAATTTGTCAGGGAGCATCTGTTCCCTTAATAGTACAGATATACCTTGTTGATGAGTAACAAACAGTACAACAACTAGGTCCAGGGTTTCGTTCCGACTAAGTCCAATCATATAACATATGGGTATGTTAATTACTTATTTGTTATCTCAATACCTTAATATACATAGAAACAGTCTTCAGTAGCTTTGTGGCAGAAATGATCACTTGGTAAGTAATCGCGAAATATTCGAGATCAATTCAGACTAAAAAAATTTCGAAACTTCATCTTTCAGCCAATAAATAATAGTAAGAGCTACATAAATTTAAATGAAAAATTTATAGCTAGATAACAAACACTGTTTAGCTCATTTTGAAGATGGAAGAGTGTACGATTTGATCGAAATTTCTCAAAAAAAGAAATGGTGAAAAAAAACGTAAAACTAAATTAAGTTTATTTTAATTCAGGAGGAATAATATAAAATAGTCAGATCGAATGCAGTGAACTAAGACTATGTTTCAGTATCGAAATGTATGTAAATTTACATATGGAATCCCTGATTATTTAAAATAATCTTTACTGGTAACTTCTCATCCTAAGTTAGGAACGCATCAAGAGACAAACGAACATTTTCAAATCGTCTTATGAATGATGACCGTTATTTAGTGAAGAGCAATACATCATGCTTATACATTTCCTAGTGTTATTCACTGAATGAGCTATTTTCGATAAAGTTAGACAGTAGAAGGCAAAGTAAAATCTCTTCATTGGTTAAAAAATGATATCTCTTGACCCCTGTTAACCAAGTTTCACTTGCTTTCAGTCACTAGTAAATTTCTTAGTTCAATCAATTTTTATTTATTATTTCATATTACGATCGCGCACAGTTCTACGTATTGCTTAAACTACTAATCTAACAGTTATAAATGGAAGCAGACAGTATATTATGTATTTGGAAAACTGTAATCGCCAAGATATTGAAGAGAGGTAGGAAAGGCAAACTGAGATCGTTTTTGTTCGTTACTACTTCCTTTAATTTGCTTCTTGGCCGTTCATAGGTATGAAGGCTTTTGTTCTTGATTGCATATTGTGATGATGTGTTATGACCCTTTTCCTTGTAACAGTTAAACGACTATTGTGATACTTAAAATTTTTAGTTCAATAAACTATGAAAATAATCACTAGAACAGCTTGAATTCATAACGTTTTTGCGAACATTGTAAGATTCGTGCAGATATTATAAGTAGAAAATTATTTATGTTGACGCTATGAAAAGTTATCTAAACGAACAAAATTAGGTAGCATTATCAACACCTGAAAAAAATGTATAATTAAAAACCAGAGTAAGGCACTGTATTTGAAAAACGTGGGTATTCAACTCTCAATTGAAAGTGTCAACCAGAAAATATCTACCTAATGAACAAACGACATACTTCGTTTACTTAAGCAGGTCATAAAATTACGGAAGGTATGAATTCTTATCTGACTACGACTGACATATTTAACTGATACTACATATCCATTTAAAACTTTTCATTTTAAATCAATTTGTAATTTTTTATTTCCTGAAATGAAAAAAATTCACTGGTGTTAAACCCGTGATTTAAAAAATCAGATTACTTTGATACAGAACGTTCTAGTGCCTGAATTAATCTTTCTTGTTGTTGAAGTAATGAGGATTTACGAATTTCCATACGATGAATTTCATGACGCATAACATTCATTTCACCTTGACCTATATCACAATCAACGGATTTTTTAGTTTCTTCACATAATTGTACTTTCTTTTCCCACAGCATAATTGTCCGTCTAAATTTATAATAAATTTTAAAAAAAATTAGATTGAAGTGATATAGTTCAGACGAGAAAAGGCAATCTAAATTTGAACAAGCACTATAAACAGAGATGATGGTGGTTAACATTAGAATCCAGGACTCGTCAACTTGATATGCCTGCATCCCAAAGTTGAAGTTCACTCCAAGACCTGAACTCAGTCCGCTCGCTTAAACGACATCTCATTATCCACTTAGCTACTGAGTCCAGACAGCCACTAGCTTGTGCATTTGGATGAAGTTTAATTCATTTTTGTAGTGGTTGTTAGGATTAAACGCGCGGCATGGATTCCACTGACAGCCACCATCACCTCTGCTTATAATGCTTGTGACTTAAGGCAATATCAAGGCAATCCGTAAAATAATAATAATAATAATAATAATAATAATAATAATAATAATAATAATGAGAGACTGATCAATTGCAGTCGTAAACGTCAGTGGGAAGATTTAATCGATCAATACAAAAATGAATTGAACCTGAACAAACGATAGTGTAAAAAATCGGACCCAATACTATGTCTTGTCACATTTTAGTCATTGGTATAATGTTTCCTGCTAAAAAAACCTTTTCCTTCAAACTGTATCAATTAAAATTACGAAAGTTACTCAACTCTCTTCAACTTAAAACACCATGAATGCTTAAAGCAGACTGTACTTCGTTTTCATTTCTTACCTATTTATAACTATCTGTTGGTAGTGAAAAGTGTCTAATTAGGTTTCATTCCAGTCAGTTAGTCAGCTATAACATAGGACCAGGAATATATATGCCTCGGTCCACGTTGCCATACCGCATTAGCACAGCAAGATGAACACCGGACTCATAGTAGTTACTTCAATGGGGTTAATATATAGAAGGAAGATCGCATATAAGGACATAGTACAGGGAGAAAGAATTAGTTCGTAGAAAGAAAGATATGAAGTGATTTTAATCTCATAATTTAAGGGAAGACCGAGAGTGAATACACCGACGCCATTGTGATCGATCCTGAGCCATGTCACCCAGAGTCTCCAACCACTGGCTACGATAGTCGCGCGGACCCCAACAAAGTAGTCTGCGTCCACCAACATAGATCAAACCAGAAGTTAGTCATTTTATTTACTATGTCACGTTTTGGTGGGGCCTCCCCTGACTTTCTTCCAATCATCTCCAACACCGGTTAGCATTGCACGTCGTGGTAATCGGTGTTCAAGCATACGCAACACATGGTCCAACCATCACAGTCTATGAGGATTCACAACCTCATCAACTGATTTACCATCATTCCCTAATACCCTGAGTCTAACCCACTACTACTTACCCGATGATCCCAGCAGATGCGAGCAATATTTCTAAGGCATCTGTGGTCAAATACTTGTAGCTTACGAGTATATTCAACTCTTAATGGCCACGTTTCACATCCGTAATATAGAACAGAACGAACTGCCGCACAGTATACTCGTCTTTTATTTGACAGACCGATATCTCATAGGTGAGGTAAGTTGCAAAAAGTCAAACGAGCTTTCTGAATCCATGCAAAGCTTTCGTCAGACACCAACTCATTAAAGCTGATCAGTTTTACAAGATAAGTGAAGTAGTCAACGCATTCGACTGCTTCACTCACTATGCTTAGTTCAGGTGTTGATGCAGACCAGTCCTAAAGCAACAACTTGCATTTGAAGGGAGAGAAGCGCATTCCAAACATTCTGGCATTGTTGCTTAGTGCTACCAAAAGACTGTATTTTATCAGCTACTCTACCCAATAGGACTATGTCGTCTGCGTATTCAAAGTCGATAAGTGGACCTTGCGGAAGGAGATCAATGCCCAAGAATTCAGTCGACGAGAACGTTATTTCCATCAGTAGGTCTATGATGAAGTTAAACAAAAATGGAGAAAGTGGACAGCCTTGACGAGCACCACTTGAGGTTGCAAAGACAGATGACAGCTCGCCATAAGCTCTGACTCGACTATTAGTGTTCGAGTAAAGAGCCTTCACGAGGTTTATGTACTTCTGAGGTACACCTTTCAATGACAGACACTGCCACAGAATCTCGCGGTCTACGGAATTAAATGCTGCTTTTAAGTCAAGAAAGACCACGATTGTCGGACGCCGGTAAGTATGCCTGTGTTATGGAATCTGACTAATGGTGAATATGTGGTCGATGCAGGTGCGACCAGGTCTGAATCCAGCCTAATTTTTTCGTGTTTGCAGTTCACGAGTCTACGTTTGGGGCACGATAGTTATTGAGGCTATAATTTTAGATTTCATAAATAAATATACTTTCATTCTCTGTATTCTCAGATTTCCGCCATGTGATTTTACTAATTTGCTATATAAGTTTGCTTAACTACAGTGAAAATACCCTCTCAATCTAACTATCAATATGTAACATAACATTGTAATGCTAATCGATGTGTATGCGAAGTCACACTATATTAATTACACCAGATGAGTTTTATGAAAGCCAGTCCTTTAATTAACTTACTCAACTTCGACTAATTCACTTAATAAGTCTTCTTTATCTTTTAAAGCTTTATCCACTTTTTCTTGCAAATTGGCTGCTTCTGTTTCTTTTTCTTTCAATGAACGTATAAAGTCTATTTCAGTTAGTTTATTTTCATTATCCAAATATTCTTCGGTTGTCTTCTCTTTTGCTATCATTGTGTTTATTCTAGTGATATCGTTCTGTAAATGTTTTAATTCTTTTTTTAAATCATTTTTCTCACGTCCCTGAATAGCAATTTCATCTATAAATAAGAAGAAAGTAATAACGATGTCACATAAGTTTAAGCTGGTCTGAATCAAATTATTTTAAAGAAACATTAGGTGATCTTTAAAAACCTGCAAAATGTGAGGTATTGTTTTCTGATTCAAGAAAGCGATCGACCAGAGAGTAGTTGAAGAGTTTGTAACCGGTTTTATTAGGCCATTTGGTTGGCCGTAGCTAGAGCTTACCTTTTAAAAAATGGAGATTTTTAATAACTCCACTGAACAATGCTTTCGAATGGATTCAGCAGATCACTATGTATTCATTTAGTTTGTATTATTATTAGTTGGTTATAGTGATTGATAAAGTTTTTTTAAAAACGATATTACGTTTGAATTTTGCATGGTTCAGCTTAAGATATTCTTCTTAATCTTAAGGCTGCTTAGACGAACTAATTCAAATTTCAATTAATTTACTTAATGCATGAAAAAATTGAAGTGACAATTAAAATGTAAACTTACTATCAATGCGTAATTTCTTCTGTGTTAAAATTGATAACTGTTTATTTATTCTCGTCACAGACTCAGCTAATTTATCACGTTCATTTATATTTACAACTAATTCATTCTGTTCTCTTAACCATTGTTGCTCAAGTTCACCAATCTCATCCTGCTTTAATCCAATAGCTTTATTTAAATTGTTTACTTGTGCATCCAACGGCCCGATTTCTTGACCCTAATATTAAAATAAATCAAACCAAAGAGAGAAATATAAATTAGTTCTTTCTCAAACCTTTAACTTGATTTCAGAATGAACTAAAGTTTCTTTAAAAGTTAAACAACTTGAAACCTTGTACTGACAATTTAAATATAAAACTAAGGTGTAGTTAGAAATTCTTAATCTGACGTTACATGTCATTATTCATAAATGATATCGTACGTTATTCGACTATTTTCTAATTACATTTATATATATATAACCGATGTATTATAGTTATAGTAATTATGGTTGTAATACATACAAATTTTTAGTAGAACACGCTGGATCAAAACCGGCTAATAGTTAGTAAACATAATTTTATTCTCCTCTTAATTTTTTTTGACGACTTGTCATTAAGAAGTATCTCCGTACAATATGCTTGACTTTGAGTAGATAATAAATAAAGATGAACTTAGTTATCGAGTGAGGTATATACTCCTCATGAACAGGTTTTTGCTTTGATCAAGTAGCTCAAAAGCTTCTATTATTCAACTTCATCTCAAACCAGGTTCTAAATATTTAGTGACTTGTTTTGTGCGTTATGGTTACTTATTATGTAGAATTGTGAAACATTACTAGTTGTTAATTAGTCACTATTATCTTTATTGTTTATCACAGTGCTTTCCATATGAAAACTTAATTAAACATCTTTGCTAACCCCCTTATAAACTGTAATATAAATAATGAACACTTTTCGAAGAGAAAACTTTCTAAAAACAGTATTCATCAGTATGGTAAAGAACCGGGGATACATATGACGGGAATTCGGTATTTATGATTCTATTTACAGTAACCACTTAATTAATTTACCTATAACAAAACTAAAAGCTTTCGGAATATGTAACTAATTAAAAACTTTATATTAGATCATTTGCTGCTCAGTTAAAATAAAAATGTATATCATTCAAAACTACGGAAAAATGTTATTTCAGTTAATTAAAAATCTAAATTAATTTCAAGGTCGAATACTTACACCGCAGTCACGAATTAAACGTTCCAATTTCTTATTTAATATATCAATGTTCCCTTGTTTACGTTCGACTGAAATATTAGCATGATGTATTTCACCTTCCAGCTTAGTGATCAATAGATTTGTGTTATCGATTTCTCGTTCTAATTCACTAACTTTTTCTTGTTGTTGCTTATTCCTGGCCTTTTTATGTGCTACGCCTAACTCGTCTTTAGCAATCTGATTTTCCATTTGTACAATCTTTTGTTAAAAATAGAAATAAGCAGATAAAAAGAAATATAAACATGATTTAACACTAGTAAAACAGAATATATATATATATATATATATATATATATATATATATATATATCACAATATGTTCAATCTGGTTGTACTGTTGCTTCACTGTTCTATTTCTACAATATCCTTCTATCCTGAACAAATCTCCTACATTTCATAAAACTATTATACATGTGACGTAAATTGTATGGTACTAAGACGAAAATTTCACAAATACCTTAGTTCTTCATAGATGACTATCAAATTGGAGACACTTTTGAGTCCATAATCCATGAATATTAACTGGTTATCATAATTAATTATAAATTACTTATATGTGACTTAGAGCATTTGAAAGCTTTAGACAAAACTCCAACTGATGAAGTTAATGTGGTCTAAATAAAGAACAATAAGCGATCTGGATTAGTTCTGTTCGCCAACAGTACACAAGAACATAACTTTTAAGGCATAGTCGTGTGTGTTAAATAGGGTTCAGTATTTGATAAAAAGAAATAAAAAACTCATTGCGAGCATAAAAACTACAGTTTATTTCATACACAAATGTTACATAATAAGATTAAGCGAATCATGGTGTTATTTCGATAGCGTATGAACATTTTCATCTCCACAAATACACGTTAGAAAGAAGCTGATTTTATGATTTTTGGGAAATAAAAAATCACTTACTTGTGTTAGTAATTCTCTACTTTGATCTTGTATGTTTATATTGATTTTATTAGCATAATTAGCAGCTTTTTGTGCGGTCAACCGATCTCTCAATTCTTCGGAGATTTTTTTCTCTAAATCTTGTTTCTCTAATACCTTCTTCTCAAGTTGTTTTCGGATATTGTTTACATTTGCTTGAGCAGTATTGTTCTCCTGTAATAAAACAAAAAGTGTTATGAAGCATTTGGAAATAATTAATTGTGTAGAGTAATATTTTCATTTGTACAGAATTGACTTCCTGATACATCTGGGAACAAGTCTGGGTTTCGAATATTTACAGTTTTGGCAAAATGCTTAACAACGCCAGTCGTTAAATGTTAAAGTTCGAAACTTTTATGGTGCTCATATTTTTATCAACCTAACTTTATCCAAAACCATAATTTTTATTACCTCATGATTAAATCCTATAAAATTTGATGAACCACAATACTGGTTTGTTAAGTGAATTTCCTTTTTTAATGTCAAAGATCGCTTGTATATAACGAAATAAAGATACAAGTATGTATGGTAACTTCCGTCTCCTCTTAGACACTACATATATTAACAATTTAGCGGGATATCTATTTAGATTCCATAGTTTATGAAACTTACTCATTAAGTCATCGATATTAGTAGAATTGTGTGTTCTTTTTAAATTATGACGATATGTTTCCATTGAAACACTCAATTCGTATTATGCGATAGCTCTAAAATTGCAAGTTTCTATTGACAAGGCAAAAACATCGGAGCTACGGCAAAAACGGACTTATTACTGATTCAGTGTAATATTGAGCCATCAGTAGAAATAGATTAACATCTTTTTAACGTAGAAATTTCATAGGCTTCTAAGCTCATGTATCCAAAAAATTAATCATGTCAATGTTTTAAGAAAAGGGAAGGTTAAACTCAGAAATGTATAAACACGAATTTTATGTATAGTGATTTACGAAAAGGTGGATATTTTCAAGGAATTTTATGAATTCTTATACTTCATACTCTATCGAACGAATTTTATGTTTAGTTTTTGGAATGGAAGCACTACTGTTCACGTTTAGATTGGGAAGAAATATAGTGTCACACTAACATGATACGACTTAGAAATTTAAAACCTCTAAAAATATTGTCAATTTTTATTTTGAATCTAACTGGTTTCCCTCACTTAAGTAGCGAGTAAGACATTCTATATGAATGTTATAACGGGCAGTAAAACTTTGTAAAAAAGTAACTCAGCCTGAGTTTATATGCCAACCAGACAGACCACACCGTACCATAAAATATGAAACAAAATTTGTGGAATAATTAACCAAATGTGGCTGTGAATGAGGCAGGTAATAATTAACAGACAGGGCATAATGGAAGAATGGTAGATCGTATAATAATAGTTCATATGTCAAAATAAAGCTCATAATAAAAGGGACGTGAATATGAACTGTTTAGGTATTTACCAACCATACGATAAAAATATACCTATAGTATTGTCGCATAAATGGATCACAAAAATCACCGTTCATTATACTTATCAGAACCTAACAAGTTCCCTCTCCATTGAGTGAATCGTGAAAGATTTTTCATCACACCATTCTTAACTATTACTTCAAAGTGTCTTATTTTACCATGAAACTATTTCATTACCGACTAGTTTTTTCATTCTCTTTGCCACACAAATGGTGCCGATTATCCTTAATGTGTTTCACGAAGATATTTATTAAATTATTTACACACTTCAATTTTCTTTCGTCTTATTCCATCAAACTTAACTTTATAATATTTCTAACATTACAAAACTTCTTTAAATATGACGAACATTGTGCGAAATTTATATAAACGTGCGTATAAATGTTCTCTGAAACCTGAAATGGTTTCTCAAAAATCCTGTGTACACATAATCTGTTTATGGATTGCAATAATAATTAGTGAACAATCGATGTCCGATTTCGAACTCGATACCATTCTTTCAAAATTTTGTGACATTATCTATCAAATTATTGTTTACAGATGATGATTGAAAGATGTAGATTGGCCTATCGAATAATCCTCTGTTCGATACCGCTAGTAGTTTCGGTTGACGACTATACATTCATTCAAACCAAAGATACGATTGATAGAAAGATTTGTATTCAGTATATAATAGCATAACTCCGCCAGGATTCCCTCCGGAGACTACTGCCGGTCCCAAGCCCGGATAAAGGAGGAGGGTCGGGCATGGGGTTAGCGACCCCATCCCGTAGAAAACTAACTCGCTAAAAAAGCGCTAACCAGAAAAAATTATTCAAACCTTTTAAACTCTGCCCTGAGAGTCGGAAGGTCTTCATTTAGAAGAACGATGACGCCTCATGATGAAAACCGAGTTCCTTCGGAAGTTACGAGGCCGATGCCCCGTCTGACAACCAGAACAACCATTTATTTAGGTACATGGAATACTCGTACAGTGTGGGAGACCGAGAGAGTCTTCCAAATTGCTGCAGAAATGAGGAGATACAACCTAGAGGTATCTCTGATCAGTGAAACACATTGGACGCAAGTTGGACAACAATGACTAGCTTCAGGGGGGTTGCTGTTATACTCCGGCGATGAGGAAGTAAATGACCCACATACACAAGGAGTTGCATTGATGCTGTCCAAACAAGCATAAAATGAACTTATAAGATGGGAATCTCATGGACCAAGGATAATAAAAGCCTACTTCAAAATAAAGAAAGAGGACATTACAATGAATGTCATCCCATGCTATGCGCTTATCAACGACTACAATGAAGACGCTAAAGATCAATTCTACAATAGGCTGCAGTCAATCGTTGAGAAGTGCCCAACAAAGGACTTGACCATTCTGATATGTGTCCTAAATGCCAAGGTTGGTATGGACAACACTGGATATGAAGACATCATGGGACGACATGGACCAAGAGAAAGAAACGAAAATGGTGGGAGGTTTGCGAACCTATGTGCCTTCAATAAACTGGTTATGGGCGGGACTATATTCCACATAAGCGCATTCACAAAATCACATGGACTTAACCGGATCACAGAACCAAATCGACCATATCTGCATCAACAAAACGTTCAGGAGGACGATGGAAGACGTGAGAACCAAGAGAGGAGCTGATATAGCATCAGATCATCACTTGCTGGCCACCAAGATGAAATTGAAACTCAAGAAGTACTGGACAACGGGCCGGACAATATCACAAAAGTTCAATACGGCATTTCTTCAGAATACTGACAAACTCAACGAATTCAAGATAGTCCTCAGCAATACGTTCCAGGCCTTTCATGATCTATTTAATGGAGAAGGAACTACTACGGAGAGCAACTGGAAGGGGATCAAAGAGGCAATCACTTCAAAATGCCATGAGGTTCTGAGCCACAAGAAGCACCATCACAAGGAATGGATCACTGTTGATACACTGGATAAGATTCAAGAAAGGAGGAACAAGAAGGCAGCAATCAATACCAGCCGAACAAGTGCAGAAAAAGACAAGACAAAAGCTGAATACACAGAAGTAAACAAGCAAGCGAAGAGGAGCATCAGAACTGACAAACGTAAACGTGTGGATGATATAGCGATGACGGCGGAAAGGGCTGCAAGAGAAGGAAACATGAGACAACTGTATGACATAACAAAGAAACTCTCTGTAAATCGCCGCTAACCAGGACGACCAGTGAAAAGCAAGAAAGGCGAGGTAATCACCAACATTGAGGAGCAACGAAACAGGTGGGTAGAACACTTCAGAGAACTCTTGAATCGACCAGCTCCACTGAACCCACTCAACATCGAAGCAGCACCCACAGACCTCCCAATCAACGTTGGCCCATCAACAATTGAAGAAATCAGCATGGCCATCAGACAAATCAAGAGTGGCAAAGCACCATGACCAGACAACTTTCCAGAAGAGGCACTGGAAGCAGACGTAGCGGCAACTGCAAGGATAATCCACATTCTCTTCAATAAAGTTTGGGATGAGGAACAAGTACCAAAAGACTGGAAAGAAGGATATCTGATCAAAATACCAAAGAAAGGCGATCTCGGCAACTGTGGTAACTGCAGGGGCATCACTCTTCCCTCAATACCGAGAAAAGACTTGAACAGGGTATTGTTAAAAAGAATGAGGGACTCCGTAGACAACCAACTTCGAGACCAACAGGTAGGATTCCGTAAGGATAGATCGTGTACAGACCAACTCCGGACTCCACGGATCATTGTTGAACAATCAACTGAATGGAATTTATCACTCCACATCAACTTCATTGACTACGAAAAAGCAGTTGATAGAGTAGACGACACAATGGAGGCTTCTTCGAAACCACGGCTTGACTGAGAAAACAGTCAATATCATACGGAATTTTCATGATGGATTAAACTGCAAAATTGTGCATGGAGGACAGCTGAAAGACTCGTTTGAGGCAAAGACCGGTGTCAATCAAGGTTGCTTTCTCTCACCGTTTTCTTTTTCTCCTGGTGATCGACTGGATCATGAAGACGTCAACATCTGAAGGGAAGCACGGAATACAGTGGACATCTAGGATGCAGCTAGACGATCTGGACTTCGCTGATGATCTAACTCTCCTATCACAATCGCAACAACAAATGCAGGAGAAAACGACCAGTGCAGCAGCAGCCTCAGCAATTGTAGGTCACAATATACACAAAGGGAAAAGCAAGATTCTCCGATACAACACAGCATGCACCAATCCAGTTACAACTGACGGAGAAGATTTGGAAGATGTAAAAACCTGTACATATTTAGGCTGTATCATTGATGAACATGGTGGATCTGATGCAGATGTGAAGGCGCGGACCGGTAAAACAAGAGCAGCATATTTACAACTGAAGGACATCTGGAACTCAAAACAACTGTCAACCAACACCAAGGTCAAGATTTTCAATACAAATGTCAAGACAGTTCTGCTGTACGGGGTGAAAACCTGGAGAACCACGAAAGCCATCATCCAGAAGAAATAAGTGTTTATTAACAGTTGTCTACGCAAAATACTTCGGATCCGTTGGCCAGACACTATTAGCAACAACCAACTGTGGGGAAGAACAAACCAGATTCCAGCGGAGGAAAAAATCAGGAAGAAGCGCTGGAAGTGGATAGGACACACATTGAGGGAAACACCCAGCTGTATCACAATACAAGCCCTCAAATGTACTCCTCAAGGCCAAAGGAGAAGAGGAAGACCAAAGAACACATGACGCCGGAGATAGAATGGATGGAAGGCCCAGGACAGAGTGGGTTGGAGAATGCTGGTCGGCGGCCTATGCTCCATTAGGAGTAACAGGCGTAAGTAAGTAAGTAAGTAAGCAAGCAAGAAATACGCATAATCAGTTATTTTTTGGGTCGAAAGTATTTGTCCAACATGGCATATATTTCAAAGAATATGGCATAGTAGTTGACAATTCTAGATCATTTTACTTCTAACACTTCCCAAAAGAGGCCATAGTGAAAAGGAAATTAATAAACACAAATAAAATTAACATAGATAATTTACTAAGATCCAAGACGCTTCGTTTTACAAACTGAAGTTCCAATCTCAAGAACTTTGATAAACATTAAATTGAAGAAAGTAGCTGCTTACTGTCTTACTCATTTCGTAAATGTTTGTTAGCAGATAAGCTTTACGATATCTCTTTCTTTATATTAAAACGTTTTAATGTTTTTTGATATAACTACGATAATAAGAACCATATGAAACAAGAATTTACTTTAGTGCAATGAAAATCTACGAAAACAAGGTCCAATCAACATTCAAAATAAACCAATGTTATTTTAGGAATTATTCTTTCTTCAACATAATTTCTTTCTGTGAAATTCCATTGAGCGATAATTTTTAATCTGCTTGCATTGGAAATATATGAATGTAATTTTCTTTCACTGATTGTAACCTAAGTAAAACTTTAAGATCGTCCTTTTCATTTACCTAATGATTGTTATCATTATTCTAATTTAACAAGATCTTGCTTAAAGTAAGCGTGTTTGTTTGTACTGGTTTCGCTTTTTATCACAAAAAAAGATAAATAGTTTTCTATTGTAAAGAGTAAATTCGCTTTTGTTAGATTGATACTTGCAAAATATTTCTGAGTATCTTACTGTTTTAGCATTGAAAAGATTACGTTCAGTTTCCTGTAAGATTCTTGAATATGTTGTGTAAGCTTGTTTATCAGCCTCAAGTTTTGTTTCTGAATGTAACAACTGTTTACGCAAAGTATTCAAGTCTGATTCATTCTTATTTTGTAGTCCTGTCAACTGTTCATGTGTTTCTTGTTCTTTGTTAATTGAACGCTTATATGCATTTTGTTCATTCTCTAAAACAAGTAATTCTTCTTTCAGCTTACTGAAAATATTAATAGTAGTATTTAATTAAAACCAAACAAAAAATTACACCAGAATATTGTCAATATTTTTGTCACATAGTAATAAACTATTCAAATAAAAAATATATAAAAGTGAACTGATCCCTAATTTAGTCCTCAGATAGTAAATAAAGTCGACAAATCTTTCATACAATTCTGCAAGTTGTAGTTACATAGAAATGTGTGATATTTCTCAATCTCCGATTGCTAGAACATCAGTTTAACCGATAAGTAAGCTACTTATTGTACTGGCTGAAGATAATTAACAAAGATGATGAATTTTGTGTCTATCTTCCAGTTGGCATATATGGAGAATATGACTTTTATAAAGTGAAGAGAATTAGTAAATAAATTGATACTTTTATGAATACATTGGATCAAAGTCATATTTGTACACGTCTAAGAGTCTAAAATGAAAAATATTCATCAATTGTTTTGACAGTTTGACTATATAAAGTGAGTTTGAATATCTTAAATTGTTTGTTTGATTTCTGGGACAAATATGAATTAAATGTTTCGTCAATCATACCAAATAAAATTCGGATCAAGTGTACCGTTTACGCAATATATAATAGTATCTGCTTAATTTTATATTCTTAAGTGTAAATTATCAACTGTTATTAGATTACCAATCGTTATATGATTTATCGTTACAAGTATTCCGCCCAACAAAAGTATTCAGCCTTATATTAGAACATTCATCACTGAATCTTAAAATATAGAACATGAAATTGCTTAACAATTGACAATTAATTATCTCATTTAATTTTCTCATCTAGAGATGTCGTTATTGTTACTGGTAACTTGGCAATAAATCAATGGTTGTCCAAAAATCCACAAAACACTCAAAGCTCCTACTGGTTTGCTTATCATATGTGTCAGGTCGTAAACGACGAGTATTTTAAACCAACGTCTGTTAGACTATAATAATCATGACTGTCACTTTCAGTCAAAACGTTGATATCGTTCCCAATAAATCTTGAGAACTAGAAAAACACAGATATACAGAAAACTGACTTAGATTAACAACATAACACATCACCTCTTAGACAATATGACTTTTTTATTGTCTAGTTGGATAGTGGCTAGCTATCACGTAACTACACTACCGTCCATTAAATAAACAAATAACGTTTTTGGATACTTGATACCTATGCCATTGGCTGTTCATTAGATGTATTAAATAATACTCAGTCGCAAAGTAAAGTCAGTTGACTGATAATGAAAGTTATCGACAGGATTGTCGACTCAAGTCCTGCTATAACAGAAAAATATGACTATATTTAACAAATATGTGATGTACACATAGTCACTAAATTAAAACGATTAGTATTCCTATTTATGAAATAAGAGCTATTTTACTTTATTATAAATATAATAGTACTTTTACAACCGGAGCAGTGAGAAACAGCGTCTCTGCAATCTAACCCTATTCATAATTGTCGTGTAATACATCACGAGGAAATTTATTTGAAGGTGGTGATGCTTTTTCTAAAATAGCATATGAATACGTCACTTAGGTTTATACACAAACATATACAATCAATGAACGGCTGTTTCATGTGTTTAGGGGTGGGTTTATTATTCTAAATCTCCGTAAAACTAGAATGCCTCAACCATTAAAATGTATTCAATTTACTCGAAAATTGTAGACCGTAAAACAGTTGTACATTTCATAAGTTACATGTCTAAGTCTGTCCTTGATTTTTCATTTGGCGTAAACTGAAATATTACTCACCAGTAATCTATAATTTTATGGTTCATAGATCTTATTAATCCAAATAAAACTTACTTATAAGCTGCTAATAAATCTGCATATGCTTCGTTTCTACGTTGTAGGCCAAGCAAACTGGTTTTCCACTGAGTAAGTAAATGGGCTTTGTCAACATTTATAGCAACTATTTGTGCCTCAGCCTCGTACAAAAGATTTTGACTTGTATTCATTTCAATTTCTTGAGCTGTTATTTGAGCTTCATATAAGGTAATATCATCTTTTAGTTGGTCAACTTTAGTTTGCATACGATCAACCGAAAGGTCCTGTCGGAGTTTCTCATCTTCAAACTATAAAATATGGAAAATGTCGGACCTCTCTTCAAATTTCAGTGAAATGAGTAACAAATAGTATAATATTTGCATTTTATAGTATATGTATCACGTGGTTAGTACTTCATTCTTAAACGACTAGTATTAACCCACTTTTCTGAAGGTTTGACTAACATAACTAAGTTATTAATTCACATGATCGACTAAATATTAACAATCATGACAAGCCTGATAAGATACGTCAGTCTTGAGGAGGTATTTGGCTTTAGATAAACTTGCTACTTTACGACACGCTGTTATGATTTCTCTTATCGTGACCCAGCTACTCCTATTGTTTAACGTTTTTTAGACACTTCACCTCACTCAACAAGTCCACAAATCAGAACAGTGTTAAACAAGAACGTAAGTATATTCCAAATAAACAAGGCTGAACAGAGGTAGAAAGCATTATATGAAAAACGTTAGTATATTTATAATTTTACACAAGAAGCTACTATAGTCTTCTTCAAGTATCCGGTAGTCCCAATTGGCTAGAAAATGGTCAATCAGTATGCCTCAATACAACACTGTACGGAACATGCCTTATCCAGCGTATATCACGCTAACACATGTTTTCTGACTGGTAAAAGACAATAAAAAGCATTCCCAATAGATGAAATTGACTTCTGAATGTTATTTACAGTTTTGAGAAAATATATTGACTGATTACCAACCGTGTATGCAGTTTACTTACCTTTGTTTGTTAATGTTCACTATATCCCGAAATCCTTATTTAGAACTTAGAAGAGACCATACCTATGTCTGCGTCATCATGCAAATGTTGACATCTTTTGAAGAATCGCTCGGCTATTGTGTCCTTAATAAGATAAACCGATTACTTTGTACGACAAAGTAGTGTTAAGGTGGGATAAAAAGAGAGATCGCTTATTAATTTAGCGTCGTATTTTTTCAGTATATCATTCTTTCGTATTAATTCAGAGTAAAACGTTTTTGTAATTACCACTAATCTAGTTACACACAATATTTGTTCTTCAGCACTAAGGACCAGAAAAACATAACATTGCTAACTATTCAATGGTTAATCAATGTAATTTAGAAAAACAATCCAAATTATGTAACAAAATTAGGCCGTTCTGATAAGGATTGGTTTGAAAGATAAATGTACGTCCAAAGAACATGAAAACACATTGCTTCACAAAACTATCAAATTCTAGACAAACGCGATCGCTTTAAGAAAAATATGAAACAATCAGTAAAAACTATGGATTGAAAGCATTTTCGGATAAAAAATAATGCTTGTACTTTTTGTTTATATATCTACTATTTTTCAAAACGTTACAAATTCTGTGATAATTCATTAATTATATAAGCTTACCTTGCTTAAATCAGTGTGGACTTTTTCAACTGCCCTTTGCAATACCAGCAAATCTCCACTTACATCTTCCTTAGCTTTATTTAAGTAGTATAATCGCAAACATAATGCATCAACTTCATCACGCATAGAATGCATTTTTTTAGTCTCTTGCAACATTGTTTTAACTGACGTTTGGTACTTTTCTCGGAGATTTGTGAGCTTATTCTGAGCATTTTCATACTTTCCATGATATTCCGCGTATTCATTATGTTTGTTATCTAAGTTTAACTGAAACCTTAAATTGAAGTAAACACATGTGGAGTCGATCTGATTTAATTCTTAAAAAAGCTTTATTTCGAATAATCAGTTATATAACGAACAGCATTGAAGATTAAACTATAAAAGAGTATTATTATCACACATAAAGAATAAAGGAATAGGAAGGTTTGAGTGAGCTATTGCTATAAATTAGTAAGTCAAATAGTGAACAATATCAAAATACTCTACAACCTAATTTATTTATATTCGCTAGCTACGTCAGCAGCATAAGTGGTGTTGTTCAACTATAAAATTATCCGTTGATCACTTTACTAAGGAATAAAATCAACATATCTCAAATAGTTGAATGCAAACTTTAAAAGTACTCTTCGAGAGAGACTATCTCATAATCAATAAAATACCTTATGTTTTGATAACACCTAATAAAAATAAAAAATGCATTATTATAGAAAACAAAAAACCTATTGTTCGGCAAGATTTTATATTCACGCTTCTATAATTTTAATCAAATATCCGCTATGTGTGTTGTTCGAATGTCATCATATCCAGTACTCAGAAAGCCAAGGAGGGCTGTTCAAACATTTTATCTTACTTCAGCTCTTAATCAGCTTCAAGTTCAATTGAACCCATTAATAAAATGAAAACTGATTTACTAAAACATTTGGAAGGGGTTCATTATTTAAATGTGTATAATATCTGTGACACAAAGTTCACCTCAGTAACCTGAAGTAGTTGAGATTTTACCAACACAAAATTACATATATCATATAATCTTAACAAAAACAAATTACTTGTCATAAAGAAATTTACATATAAGTTTCAACTTTACCTAGTAAATCAACAAAAGCACTATATTCCTTTTCTGTGTTGTTACTATCAAATGCACAGATCCATTTTTATGTACAGTCACTACAGTCAACACCCTTAACCATATTATATATATATATATATATATATATATATATATATATATATATATATATATATATATATACATATATATATATATATATATGTGCATCGAAAATTATTTGCTTATTTATATACCATGCTTTTAATAGGGATAAAGAATATAAAAAATAATGTATGCTTAATTATGAATAAAACCTATAGTTATTGTTTAGTTATGCAAACACAACGCTATCCTAGAGAAAGGCTTAAAATACTGCGTCTATGCATCTAACTAGTTTGCTTAACAATATAATCATTGATGAATATTTCTATGTAAAAAACCCAAATATCAAACGAGGCCAAAGTGCTTTCTTATTCTTCTTCAAAGTGTAGTCATACAAAGTTAGTTTACTTATCCATCTTATAGAGGCCGGAAAGCATTTGTTACGACGTTTGCACTCTACGGAAAACACTTGACAGAAACTATGGAAAGGCATTAACTTGAAACGCAAAATGTAGTATTCTTCAAAGTTATAAATCTCAAGAGTTACAATATGCTGTTTCAGTGGTCAGCTTCTAATGCTATTCTAAAATAAGTTAACACATGATCTATCAATTCGTTAGTTTGTGCTGTCGAATCAATAACAATTACTAATTAACCTTAAAGCTTAAAATTTTGGACGTGAAACAATTAGCATTGCTCCCCGATAAAACTCGTTAACTGATGAAAACATGTTTTTTACCTACGAAATCCGTGACACAAATTATCCGACATATTGTAATAATAAACACTCTTTTAACGATACGGGGTTTTGATTATGTTACATGGTTAGTAACCCTACTAAAAATCATTTGTCAATTTATTGAAATGATTTATGACAGATCAATTATATTATGTTTCACAAACACATCAAAATTGCGAGCATATAGAATACTTTAATTAAAACCTAAACTTAAAAACTAAAAGTCTAACCGCAGTTTAAATATGCCAATTACCTACAAAAAGGAATATGTATAGTAGGTTTTCGATCTGTGTACATAACGGTATATGGGTATTCAGTCAGTTGCCACTATACCGCGTTTGCTAAGATTTGAGTGAGAAATACTTTGGCTATGATACATAGCACTCAGACAGTGTGGTCACTGTTTAATATTATAGCAGGAACAAAATGAAGGGCTACTTTTACACAATGTACAATTTAGGAATACCTAGATTTTTAATTACGGAATACTTATCACAAGAAATCCTCCTTGAATCAATTTCTTTATTCTTCAAGACAAACCTAAATACATATTTACAACTCAAGACCATTCACATTAGGGCCATTTTATGATTTAATTTAGCCCTCTTTCCGATAAAAAGTATTTATGAATCTGGTGATTATAAACTATTTTAAAATACCACAGAAAACCCTTATCTTATTAAGAAAATACGTGTTATAAACGTTTAGTTATCTACAACGTTGATGTTAACAAACTACAAGGAAAAGACTAGATTCTATCAATATTATGCATAATCTTATACGTTAGGGATCACTTTCGTATACAATCAACCATATCGGAGGCTCATATCAGTGGCACATGTGAGGTTGCATGTTGTAAGATTAAATCTAGAAATGGGTTAGTGACTATAGGGGGAATATACCGTAGTCCGTCTTGTCTTGCTGACGAGTTTATCCTAAGACACATCTGTTCTTGGAGTATGGCAGAATGTTGTCTCATCATTGGGGACTTCAACGCACCGCATATCAACTGGATAGAGCTTACAGCTCCAGGTAGTGGTTTCGATAGCGACCTTTTATCTACCGTTATTCAGCGTGCACTTGTACAATGTATCACAAAACCGACACATATTGATTTGCAACATGTTCCGTCACTGCTGGACCTCACCCTCACCCACCACTCTGAGGATGTCCTTGATATCCAGCACCTTCCTCCGCTAGTGAACAGTGATCACGTTGTAATTCACTTTAAGTTTAGGACACATGGTATACAATTCGTATCTGCTCCACCCCGTCCCAATATCTGGCGAGCTAACACTCCGGAAATCAGAAACTGTGCTATCTCGACTGATTGGTCGGTCGACGCGGATCGATTGATCGAAGATGAATGGAATAAGTTTAAGGCTACATTCGAGTCCGTAACGTCGCCGTTTATCCCATGGTCAGCACGTAAGCTATCACATTGCCCTCCATGGATTAATAAGGAAACCCGGAAGCTGTTAAAGCGTAGGAAACATTTCTGGGACTTATTCTTGTTGACAAGTCATGCACCATTTAAGCGTGAGTACCAAAAATACCGTAATATCTGTAAGAAAACCATAGCCATACTTGTCCAAAACGATTGTTTTCGTATGTTAAACGGCAAATGAAACGTAGTGATGGTATTCCCCCGTTACTGTTACATGACAATTCAGAATTACTAGCTGAATCAGATCGAGCAAAAGCTGAGACTTTTTCAGACTACTTTAGCAAAGTCTTCTCTACGTTTATTGTAACAAATACTTGTCCCACTCACACCGAGATACCAACCATTGAATCTGTACAGGTGACTGAGGAAACTGTCCTTCCGTTGATAACTAACCTCAAACCTGGTAAGATACCGGGCCCTGACGGGTTACATCCACGGTTGCTGTCATCTCTTGCGGACATTATTTCAAAACCGCTTGCGACACTCTTCAACATGTCCCTCTCACTCGCTCAACTCCCTAGAGATTGTAAGGACGCTATAGTTAGTTCTATATTTAAGGACGGTCAGCGACAGTATCTAACTACCGGCATGTCAGTTTAACTAGCATAGTCGTTAAGTTACTCGAAAAGATAATTCGGGTTAGGTTGCTAAGCTACATACATTTACACAATCTGTTAGCTCCTGAGTAACACGGATTTCGTAACGAGCGTTCATGCTTGACCAACTTGCTTATTGTGAGGGAGGATTGGACAGCAGCCCTAGATAACGGTCTGTCTGTCGACGTGATATTCATAGATTTTAGCAAAGCGTTTGACAAGGTTTCACACGTAGGTCTTATGCAGAAGCTCACGAGCTTCGGAATAATAGGTACTGTACATGAGTGGATAGGAAATTTCTTATGTGGCCGCAGACAGAGAGTTAGGGTCAACGGAACGCTATCCGATTGGAAGCCGGTCAAAAGTGGTGTACCCCAAGGCACCATCTTAGGCCCTCTGCTTTTGCTTCTCTACGTTAATGATTTACCGCTGTTACTTAGGTCGTCGACATTATTGTTTGCGGATGATGTAAAAATCTGGAAAACAATAAAAAGTGCGGCTGATCATGTGGATCTTCAAGCTGACTTAGACGATTTAGTTAGATGGGCTCGAGAGTGGGGCTTAGAAATCAATGCTAGGAAGAGTGTACTAATGCACATCGGTCACGATAATAGTTACCGTTACACTATTGAGGGTAAACCTCTTCCATGCGTTCAAGAGCATAAAGACTTAATATTACTCCTAATTCATGATTTAAAGACAACTAAGCATTGCAAAGCAGCCGCTGTCAAAGGTTTTCGTGCGTTATGGTCACTTCGCCGAGCGTTCAAATCTTTTGACGAGGAAATGTTTGGAATTTTATATCCCATATATGTTAGACCACATTTAGAGTACTGTATCCAAGCAGCCAGCACATGTCTGGTAAAGGATATGAACTCCCTTGAGCGTGTCCAGCGTGTGGGAACGAAATTAGTGAAGGGCCTTTTTAGACTTCCTTACGATGAGCGTTTAAAACCCCTAAATCTTTTCCCCTTGTCGTATCGTAGGACACGAGGTGACTTTATACTGGCATTTCGTATCTTTAATTATGATTTGGGTGTTAATATGTCTTATCTTTTTGCTCCCTTCAGCACTAATAATCTCCGAGGTCATAGCAAGAAGGTTTATAAACCACGATCTAATAAACTTAAAGTGGGATCCCGTTTTTCTCATCGAGTAGTCAATGATTGGAACGCCTTACCCGAACAAGTGGTATCAGCCCCATCAGTGAATACTTTCAAGGAAAAGCTGGACCTTCACTGGAAAGCAATGTGTCAGGATTAACACAGGTTCATCAACCTACTATCCTTATTACTGAAGACTGAAGACCATTGAATGGTGTATTATTCTCCAGATTAGTATAACTAATACTTGAATTTAGTTTCTGAAAACCGAGTTTCATTATTAAAAAGCTATGCATCTAACCCTCCGAAAAAAAACAAATCCGTAGCTTTTAAGAGTATGGAAATCTAATATCATTATCCTAGGCTTTGTAAACACAAGATTATGAGAAAACTATGGAAATCTGTTCATCTTACTTTGCGAGTTCCTGTTGAAGGTTATACAGATCGCAACCAACTTCAATGTGAGCTGTCTTTTCGCTTTTCATCTCTTCGTCCTATTTATTATTATGGAGAATATCCAAAACATACTTTCTCCCTCAGGTGAATCTCCGTATTGTCAATATGTTTGGTGAGCATGCTTCTCAAAGACTCTTGAAAACGCCTCATCAACGGCTTTTCTTAGTTTGAAAGATTAATCAGCAGAACCTACGTGATCTGCATCAAGAACAATCAAATCATTTTGTTCATTTTCAACCTCTACTTCATTTGTACGTGAGTTATCATCCAAAATACTATGTTGTTCAACTGTTCCGAAAGTTTCGTCAGGTATATTTTTAAATTCCTCATGATTTTGCTCACTTTGCGAATTCGGACTCTCAGAAAAACTCATTTGTGTTCGAGCTCTAAACAAAATTCACTGTTCACGTTTTGAAAAATACAACAAACATAGCCATAACAACGACAAAGTGATGACCTTGAAAAAACAATATATTTGTCACAGGCTTGTTTAAACAAACAGATTTCTTCGCTCTCGCTTGCTGTTGTTTTGCTATAGTTCAAGGTATTAATTAATATCTAATGGGTGGTAGTCTAGCCACACGACTACATGAATTCTAGTTAGTGTGGTGGTTACTTGTGGAATTGTATATTTCCTCGATACCTAAAGCTATCACATTACCAGGCAAGAGGTTGTTTAAATAGTTTAAATGGTTCTGAACCTATGCTTCCACGTAGGAACCTGAGAATATTTAACAATAAGGAAGATATATTAGTAAGTTACAGCCAGGTACTGTCCTTGATCCGTTGGAATATCTCACGTTTCTCCATAAAAGATTCCTAGAAAGTCTTTTAAAATGCCTCAGTTGGCAGCAACTTCTAGAATTTGAGTTTCATACTAGGATGAAACTTCAGTCTTGAGTATTCAAATTTTCATTGATGATGTAGATAAAATCGACTGTTTAAACACTTGTTAAAGGCAAAACGTAACCCTACAGTTCGTTCTTCTGTTTTGTGACTCCCATTTCAGAGTGTCGCCCCTAAGATTTTGTGCTAGGACAGATTTTAAGTAGTCAGTTACTCAAGGTGATGCTAAGGAGTGTTAAGGATTCCATAGACCTATCCTCTAATGGGCCAAATTTCAGTGATTTGAGGCACTTTTTGTAAGGCTTGAATTTGAGTCTCTTAACTGATTTTGTAGCTCGTGGTTAGACACTTTGTGAAAAATAGTAAAGTGATAATTTCACTAATAATAATAATAACTTATTCTCAAATAACAGTTTGTTACATGAGGCATGACAGTTTACAGGCAAGATCAAATTGATACAAATGATACAATATACACTGCAATAAATTACATAGTTGGGTTGATAATTTATAAGATATGAATGTAGATGGTTTTAATCAGTACTACAGTTGACGCGCTTCATGAAAGTTGCGTTACGAATGTGCGACTGATGGTCAAGGATAGGTCCATTGAAGGTATGAGCTTTTAAAAATCGTAACCTTATGTCCCTTTGGGATATCTAAGGCTTTAAGGATGGTGCAGGATGAAGTCACCAGTTCCATATCTCAAGGGGGTTGAAAGAGGGAGCAAGTAAAAGAAAACACGAGAGGCAGAGTAGCCAATACTCATGAAGGAATGTTTAAGGTATGATTACTCAGTCTAATTTTCCTTTAAGGTATATGTTAAGAAAGAGCATATTAATGGGTTAAAGAACATAAGTGTTGACAATGTGTGAGTGGACATGCAACTGACAAATGGGGGCGATTCGGAAAAGAGCTGAGAGTATAAGATTATGTGTGATTATAAAATAAAATATAGTGTTAGAAACAGTATTGTAATATACAATTGGCTGTCTTCCCTTTATTATCGAAGCTATTAGAGCCCCTTTCGTTTTTTTTTTAAAAATATTATCCCCCCAGTTATTATAGGGTCTTGAGTAGGCTTCGTATTTTAGCGAATTGTCTAGTTTGCTTGTAATAGGATTTCTAGGTAGGAAGTGAAACCAATTCAACGTTCGTAACACGACTTAAAGAGGTATTATGGGTGATAAATCAGCTTAGAGAAGACTACTATTTCAAGAAATAAATAGATTTGTTGATCAACTGATGATGAAAACAGTGTGAACAGACGAAACTGAAAGAATAAAAGGGGAAACATAATTGATAATAGGCAATATATGAAATGGTTTCTGATAAGTGGTTATGATAACCTTAGTAAAATATGGTACAAGCATCAGAGATAGCCGCTCCAAGAGGTCGATAGGAATCCTAGGTTGAGCACGTGTTTATCAAGTTTCATATATAAGCCGTCCACTGAGAAAAGTATCATTTGTCAAATTATGCAAAAAATCGTGATTTCTGGTATTTGGTTCAAAAATAGTAAGACCAGTATCTCAAGCTGTCATTTTCCGATTTAAATATTGGGAAATTATCTTAAAAACTGTTCAGCGACAACTACTTGTGGGTGACTTATTATCATTAATTATACTTTACCTCGTTCAAAGGAAGCTCAGCTGAAAAATTTTGGTCTTTTTTACACTATTTAAAGCGTACGTTCGTCAAAATCAATGTACTCACAACATTGTCATACCAGTTTTCTCCAAGAATGAGGTTTTTCGGAAAAATAGAATTTGTTTACAATTTATCGTTTTACAAAACTGATGACGCAAGACTATTATCTCTGGGCTACAGAAAGATAATAAGTGGTGTGATAATAATATACATAAAACTGCATAGCTCATGAGACTTATAAGACTTTTGCCTGATTATGAGTTGCGAAAGTCACGTATAACGCATACAAAAATTTAAATAAAATCTATTTCATCAGTGACAAAACCTTATTCACCCGGCAACATCAAGCGCTGAAAATAGTTCTTAGTCACACCACTTAACATAAGTGTCACCGAAGACAGTTTAACAAAATCTAAGGGACATAAAATTAGCATACGTATTATTTGATCATATTTTGTACGTATTAAACAATTATATTTCACACTACTACAGTGACAATACGACTCCTGCTGGAGCGCTTCTAGTTTTATGGTTTTTCTCGAGACCGAGTAAATAAGATGTGTTAGGGATGCATATATATCCATATGAAACAACGTTGCTAAAGAAATGCATAAATAAAAAATTATTTGAACCGTTTAAGCTCTGCCTTGGCACTTGAGGAATCTTCACTCAGAATAATTATAACGTCTCATGATAAAGCCAAATTTTTGCGTAAATCACAAGTCAGAAGCATCATCTAAGAACCAGTTCATAATTTAGCATACTTGAATCGAATTTTCGGAATATTTGGGAGACTAGAAGGACCAACCAAGTAGCTATAGAAATGAGGAAAAACAACTTCTTATTTCTCGGAGTCAGCGAAACACATTGGACCGAAGCTGGACAGCAAAAGCTGTACTCCAGTCACGAGGAGGAAAAAGGCTGCACACACCTAGGGTATTGCTTAGACTTTGTACAAAAAAGCATGAAAGCACTCTTAGAATAGAGATCTCACGGATCCAAAATCATCAAAGCATTTTTAAAAACAAATTAGAACGGGATCACAAAGTATGCCATCAAGTGCTACTCATCCGTCAATGAATATGACAAAGATCACTTAAATTAGAGGCTGAGGTCTGTCGTAGCGAAGTGCTTAGGAAAGGACCAGACAACCCTGATTGTAGACCTAAACGCTGAAGATGGAGTGGACAACACTGAGTAAAGAGACATCATATGGCGGAACGGATTGGGAGAAAGGAACGAGAATAGGAAGGCATTTGCAAATTTATTTGTATTTAATGAAATGGATATAGATGGCACCATCTCTTCTCACAGACCTATACACGAATCTACATAGATTCCACCAGATCACACTACAAAGAACTAAATCGACAACATCTGCACTAACAAAAGTATCGGAAGTTCCATGAGCGGCATGAAAACTATGTAAGGAGCCGATATAGTTTCAGATTACCACTTGCTTGTGGCCAATATGAAATTGAAGCTGAAATAAGCACACGAAAAATGGGAAAACAGAATCAAAACAGTTAAATATATCCTTTTCCTGAGATACTGACAAATCAGTGTAGACCTCAGCTTATATTTGTTGTTCTTATTAAAATTCTTCATTATTGATCCAATAAGCTTCTTTGCTTTAGATGCTTGAGATGCAGTGTGTTCGCAAAAGTTCAAGCTGTTGCTTTACATCAAACTCGAATAATGAACAGTGTTGAGAGGTTTCATTGTATGTTCGTGTATAACCAGATTTAGGTTAAAGCTCGGCCAATATAATTAAACCCACTTTTGTCAACATTCTTTGACAGATTTCAAGGAACAGGCCATTTTTTAAAGTTATTTATGTCATCCCGGATTACCGATGAAGTGTAGGTTTCTTTGGTAGAACACGACAATTAATAAACGATTTCTAGGTTATCATCAAAAAGGAAGGGTTTACCGTACCGAAAAGTTGTAACCATCATTATTCTGAAGAAGTAAGGGTAATAGATCAGTCACACTTCCTTATATAACCTCACTTATTGCATTCATAAGCTTAGAGTAGTAAGATCTAAAGCGAACCTTTCGGCTACGTCCTGCTAAAAAGATTTGAACAAAGATGCACTGAGATCCAGCATACCTAATGAGGACAGTTTTATAAGAAGGTTGTGTGAGATACTATCGAAGGTCTTACTAAAATCGAAGCATAGAATTATTACTGATTAACCAACATCACTTCACCGGGTAATTTGATGAAAAATTTCAAATTTAATGTGCAGCATATGCGTTCAGTTGTAGATCACTAATGTAGATATTCTATGTCGAAATGATTGGAGGCCTACTCGAGTTAGACGGGAATAGTGTGACGAACTAGCAAACGTCGAAGTCACACATTGCAATCGGCACCTTACGTGGATTGCCCGATTGACGTATCAATGTATTATAGATGCTTTGAAAACTGTACAACACAAAGAACGTTATTACAGAAATATATTAGTTAAAGTAAATACAAGCGAAGGTAAGACCACCGCCGCATGGACCAGTCTATGGTGTACAATTAACTGGTGCGCATTGGTTGTCCTTGACCTTGGCGAGGATCGATGATCGGTTCGATATTCAATGACCCAACTGCCGGATGATTTGGCTAGGGCTCAGTGGAATTTCACTGGCCCTACACAGTTATAAACCCAGGGTGGTATAGGCTGATTATGCTTGACGAAAGTAAGAATGATATTGGCTGTGTGAGGATCTTTTTTCATGATTCGCGATAGCACATATGTCTTGTTAAATGGCCTATAGTTATTAATATCTCTTCATGATCCCATTTTCAAACTATGGGAAATAAGCGATGTCTTTCATACACATTGACAAGCTTCATATTCAAGTTTTAAAATGAATAATGCGAATTCTCTGCTACCGTACACCACGACTGATGGGGAAATGTCATCAGTTTTACCGTTATGAGACCTTTTAAGGGTTGTTGTGGCACCCTTGATGTTGGTAGATTTGAGATCAATTATGGATATATGCTAAGGTGTCAACTTTAGAAGTCTCGGTTTTGTAGTCTAACATAGAGAAAAGTGGTTGAACTGTTGATAAATAGTATCATATTTGAATATAATGCTGATGTTAACTATGTAAAACCTGGTTGTACTAAAAGGGTTTGATTTCACGCAAGATTTGCAAAGTCGGAACACTGATAAGTCTGAGTTTTTACTATCTAAGGCTTTATTCTCCATGAGATACTTGCGTTGGGTAAATCATGACTGTCAATCACGGTAAGCATACTCTGAGGCGAATATACGTCATGTTGCATGCGGTAGCAGTGCTTCCGCTCAAAAATATTTTGACCTCATTTTAGCATTATTAATCACTTGGTTGATAATTGTGGAAGTGTAGTCAAGACAATATAACATTGTGGTATAAGTCGGAAAACTCTGTGTCAATGTTATCTGGGGTGAAATTAGATTCCTATGGTAAGCATCGAATAAGATTTTCAGTGCACTTTCAGGTCTGTTGAACAAAGTGCCTGCTCTGGCACATTGTCGCAGCTGTAAGGTCCGATGGTACAGCTTGGAGAAAGAATAATACTCAAAACGATCGTAAGGCTGACGCAACACCTTGTCAGGATATGGGTGAGAATTCTTTGCGACCAATTACAGTTAAGCAGTATCGATATATTCAGTGAGTAATTTGTCTACTTCAAGCGAAATTCGACTAAGTACATATAGCTACGAAGAATAATCTAATGCGACTTCAAAGAAAGAAAAAGGAATCGAAACTCAGCAAACCAGCACATTGATTCCTCCATTAGATATTTCAGAGACATTCAACTACGACGTTCTAGTAAACACTACCACTTTCCGGAATTGATCCTTCTGATCTTAACTGTGTGGTTGCATAGACCTCTTGATGTATGATCACGTCACCCTACAGTGATTTTACTCCTAAAGACACTACCTCATATACCCATCAATCTGCTGTGCTATTCGATGAACCAACCTTAACATGTGATGTGAAAATTACTTTATTAGGTATGGCACTCAACATTGAGGTAGAATAACATGATCGCGTCGGGTTAACTCCGAAGTATACCTTTTTCATCTGCAGCTCTCAAGTCATACGAATTTGTTTGCTTTGACTAGCTGCATCTATATAATTTAGGAATGAATGGCATGTTCTCTCTAGCTTCTTTTACCTCGCAATATATATCCACATTTTCTTTTTAAAAATAAACAAATCTGAACCACGCTGTTAGCCAGAAAGAGGTCAGTACGGGTAACGTACGATCGTGTCATGGTAGTAGTAATGTTTCCAAAACTGGCCTTACTTATAGGGTGTTTGATTTTAAGTTCGATGAACTCTAATATAGTAAGGACCTGAGCCATACTTCTATCTTTTCGGTAATCGTATTAGTCTTGGACAATTTTTATACTTTGACCTGCAAGTTAAAATGCTGACTACAATTTCTACCACAAATTTACTTTTTCATACACACTAGCATATCTCTGAACATAAGTAGACTTGTAACGTCAGTTATTATGGCAAGCCCATCTACCTTATTCTAACTTGTGGACATCCTATTTAATTCATTTTACTTGAGTCATATTTTGACCTTGTTAATTATTCGCTTATTAGCCTTGACTGTTTTCATATGAGCGTACGTGTGTACACTTCATGTCCCGTGACTTATCACATGTCTGTCGTTTATTTTGTCTGCCTATAAATATTAAGTAATGCCTAGCTTGAAATGGAGTTGGCTTCCCAGCCATCTTCCCTGCGCGTCACGGGCCTACAGACTATCTAAAAATACAATAATCCCCCTTACATTATTAGTTTTTCCGTCTTTTGTTTCAACAAGTTGCCTGTCATATCGAATCAATGGAAAGCAGCCATAGCATTGAAATAGTTTCATCGGTGGTTACAGATCAATCCACTATCCGTTTCCTGTATTGTCTCTTGATTAAGCTTTTTCTGAATTGTCTTGCAGAAACTACACTAATCACAGATATCCAGTACGCGGCAGTATTTTCCAAAGATCAACGGCCGCACCAAGACCACAACTTTTATCATTGTCGTATAATTAAAACACTTCTATGATAACTATCGACCCTTAAGCTAATGTGCACAGTAAACGTATTTACTTATGTAATTTGAATGCACTGAACTATCTAAACAAATATACTCTTACAGTGCTTATTGAGACAAAGCAGAATATATCTATATTATACTTGATATGAGTCGAATGAAGTTACATCTCTGTAAACAGCTATATTTAAAATGGAAAACAATAGTAACGGCTGTAACTCCGGTTTTTGAGAAAACGATGAGTTAGCAAAAATAGAATCAAACATTCGAAAAATTTAAATACTGAAAATAGTTATCCACCTAGACAGGTTAACACAAATTAAATAATGCATAACAAATATGATCATACAGAGAAATAGTAGGACCCTTGTTTACATATGATACACACACATGTAACTATTCCACAGTCAGAGCATTTAATACATCTTCCTGACTTTCTTTGTACAGAAGGAAAGTAACAAACAAGCGAACAAGTTATGGGAAGCTTAAAAGGAAAAAAACGATGAAAGTAAATGAGAAAAACATGGTAGTACAATGCATCTACTTCAATAAAGTTTCAACATAAAAAATCAAACTAGAAAAGTAAATAATAAATAACAGGATTGAATGTTAGAAGTGAAAGATAACAGAAAAAACTCAAGATGAATAGAGAACCAAAAGGGGGGTAATATCGTTTGCATTATGATTACTATGGAATGAATATGTAATCAATCCAAGCACCATTTAAGAAATTATAGATAGAAGAGAGAGGATAAGTGTAAAACCACTGGAAAAATATGCAGTCAAAATCGTTAATGAAACTGGTTTTGAAAGAAACACAAATAAGTGCGGAGAACAAAGACAATGAAATATTAAAAAAAGATATTAAAGAAGGAAAAAAGATCTTAAAAATACATATTATCCCCACATTGAGCAAAACAAATACCATTGTCAAGCTTTACATAAATTGTGATAAACCGGAAAAAAACTGTAATTTCTAAAAATCATATGAAGTTATAAACTATGGACTGGGGAAATATTCAATTACAGGGATTGAAGAATTAGTTGTAGTAGCATGAACTATCTGTGGAGAATCAGTTATTGCGTTGTTGCAAGAAACTGGATTAACAACTATATCCGGTGAACATGCTAAATTCGTGATTTTGGAGATGGTTTGTGGTTCAGTGGTAGAACTATTTTGATTGAGTGATTGATGTAGGCGTTGAATTAAAGGATGTCTATAAATCCAGTTTTCTCCCTCCTCACGAAAGTATTTTGGTGTCCATGTATGTTTTGAGTCTCTTCTCTGTCGAGCTAAATCTCGTTGTCGCTGTTCCAAACGATGTTTAGCATCTGATGCTGCATCGATATTACCCACTTTTAAATTATATGTCACTTCCTCCCACAATCTACACAAATGTTGAAAAGAATTTAGGAAATGTACATTGAATAAAATAATTCCTCCCAACCTACTTTACCGCATACTTTATGATTCATTACAAAATAGCAAAGTAACATAAAAAAGCTTCTTGACTAAGTTATAAAATTTCATCCGGGTAGTCGTGTACTTATGTATAGGTAACGGAATCAATCTTAACAGAAGATAACTAAACATATAAAAGACATTTGTGTAGCTGAACTAATCGATTTCATAAATTTTGATAGACTAACTATCCGTTCACTGATTAACGTCGTCATTTACAGAAAATCACTAATCCAATCATATTGTTAGTTTATATATGACAACATGTAACTAGATGACCGAAATCCTATCAAATATTATTTATTGTCTTTATTTCTCAATAAACTGTATGCTGAATGAAAAATATGTTTACACGTTTCAAAGAAACCTTACTTTATGTTATGCTGAACTGAAGTTATGATATAAAAGATTAGACGCTTTTATACTGAAATCATTAGTGACAAATTCTGTCGTGAACGGCAGGAACGCTTCCACGATCACAACAGTCAAGGTTTAAAAGAAAAAGCAACAAATCATACAACCGACTAGAAGAAACTAAAGATAGCACAAAGCCCTTCGATTATCACTTAGAGTTGATTGAGTATCGAAAAAATCTTGAAAATAACATAAAACTAAATAATGATGAATGATAAAAATCAGATAATAATATCATCCGTCAGAATACATAAGTTACAAGTTGCCACACTATAAAACACTAGTGAATGTAATAACAAAATAAGCAGGAAGAAAGAGTTAAAATGAATAATAAGTGTAAGGTAAGACTTTATGTTGAACTTTTGTTTGAGAAGTGTTAATGTGTGAACTATTCATAAGTTAGCCAGATAATAACTAACTGTAATTGTTATATCCCGATAAGAATAATGAATGGTAATTTTTGGGGTCCATTTATGGACCAATACTATATTTTTATCGTGTAATTGTTATGTAACTAGACTGTTCATATTCAGGTCCCTCTTATTATGAGTTTTATTTTGACCTATGAACTATCAATATACGATTTACCATTCTTGAATTATTCCGTCTGTTAATCACTACCTCCCTCATTCACAGCCACTTTTAGCCAAATATTGTACAAATGTTGTTTTCTATTTTATGGTACGTTGTGGTCTGCTTGATTAGTATATAAACTCAGTATGTTTGAAATAAATGATTTATATTGCAGAGGCTGAGATTGGCGTTCTGGACTCAACTGGCTGGGCTAGGCGGAAAGTAGGACCAATCAGGACCCTAGGCTGCTCGCATGTGTTTTTATGCGTCACTTGTCCGGTCGGTAGTTCGCTGCTCTTTGACTGTCGGAATCGTTGCGTTGTACAATAAACAGGGCACACAGGTTCACAAGTTCTAACAGTAATCAACTGAGAAATTTTTAGAATGACGAAGAACAGTTAGGTGAATTATGATAAATTAAATGAAGAATAGTTTACGAACGGCAAAAAGTAAATGCAGGTTATGCGAAATTCCCTACTAATCCTATATATATATATATATATATATATATATATATATATATATATATATATATATATATATATATATATATATATATATATATATATATATATATATATATATATATATCAATTACCACAATAGATAAACTAACAAAAAAATCACATTAACGTACCGTCTTGATTCATTTTCTTCTTGGCGAGATCGAGGAAGTACATGTTTTCTTACAGTTGGTAGGTTACGGGTATCAATGAATAACTCATTTTTCTACAATATAAAAAAATCCTAAAAGACATCTGAATTTTATGTACATGATCATAAATGACCTAAAACAAAAAGTACAGATAGATCGATTACAAAATAATAACTACAGCTAATATCCTCATCGAACCACGTGACCAGAAAAATTTAGTATAATACCGAAAACAATCGAATTAATGACTTACAAAGGAAATGGGGCCTAAGCTAATAAAATTATGAACTCTTACCTGCAGTAATCACAGACCAGGGATATTACTATAAACTAGCATCAAGTTTGTCAACTTTGGTAATTCTGTGCTTGATGACTGACACAGGTGTTTGATTGACTTAAAGATTTAGTAGTCTTTCTTTCACTCGCTTCTAAATATCTAACTTTAACAGGTTAAATATACTTAAGCCTGACTGATTTTATACTTCTAGAATGCCTACACAATCAATAAGAACCTCCCGATCGTTGTTGCTATCTTGACGTGGTGGTCGTGCTTACTTATCGTGTTGAACCAGATGGGTTATACTGGCTGGAACAATCGTTCATCAAGGTCCTAACATGCCAGACAGGTCTGTTGGAGAACGGTAAGACTGAAAGCAACAAACCCAAGGTCCGAAGGCGGAGTCGTACTGCTGACTGTGCAGAGGTGTGACGACAGTAAGATGTTTCCCTCAGATAACCAGCATAACAACGACGCTGTCTTTCCACAAGGAGGGGTGGGGTAAGAAAAGGTAGACCCTAAAAATACACACTTCGCCTTATCCCACAGATATCCGTCTCTGGCGGTAAGGTCCCAAAAATACGGAGCTAACACAAAAACTGCCCATAAAAAGGTCGTGTGTGACTGACCTCAAGCAATTGCCCCTTGGGCATTGTGATCACGCTCTCAGGTCACTAAGACCACTTCTAATCCAATTTCCTTTTAAGGTACCTCCAGAAGAACCATACCACGGTGTGGGCAACCGGGAAGTGATAACCGCCCTCATACCTTTAACAGCACTCAAGACTACTGTATTCATAATCAACCTCCCTCTTCAGTTCCTATTATTCCTCCTACATCGACTTTCAACCATAAACTTCCTCTTTTGGCTTCCTCCTCAAGTGTCACTATGGCCAACGGTTCTAAAGCGCAAAACACTGCCCCAGGTCTACTGAAACCTTGCTCCAAACTACACATTGGAACCTTCAACCTACTCACACTGTGTCAAATCCGTCAGCAGGTCTCCTTGGCTAAAATCCGAGAATCTCGTACCATTGATGTATGCTGTGCCTCTGAAATACATACACAGGATCCTAGTGTGGTCATTCACTTGACCTCACATCGACAAAAAGGGAAAGTCGACGAGACCCCCCTGTATCTGGCGACCCGTAGGCTAGTTCTCGTGGACTAGCGGGTGTCTGCATAGCACTCGAAAAGGGTAGGGATACATCTTGTTGCCTTTTTGTCGTTTCTGCCTACGCTCCCACTGACTGCAGCTCGGATGAAGTGAAAGATGAATTTCACAGAAAGCTCTCTGAACTTCTTCAGCAAGCAGCTAAACGTTCAGATATAGTACTTGTAGCAGGTGACTTTTATGCCCAGATATGTAGCTCAAACCAAATAGAAAAACATTTAGGTGGGTATTTTGGTATTCCGGCACAGCGAACAGATAATGGTGATCGTCTGCTCAGACAATCGTTTATTTTTAGCAAACATAAATTTTAAGCATAAGGAGAGACATCGTATAACATGGCGACCACCTGCACCAAACCAAAAATTGACTTAAATAGACCAGATTGCTACCAGTCATCGTTGGAGTGGGTTGATAGAAGATTGTCGCTCATTCTGGAATACCTGCTTGGACTCTAACCATGCTCTAATACAGGCACGCATCTGCAAGCGTCTTGCTGTACGCAAAAAGCCACACTAAAAAGACCCATTAGAACTGAATTGAGTAATGAGAAAACAAAAAGTAAGTTCCAGGAACAACTGAGGTCACACTTAGGTAGTTCTGGAAACGAGGCTGACCCACATGTTGCTTAGAATGATATACAAGCAGCTGCGGAAACAGCAGTGACATCGATTAGTGATTTAAAACACAGGATTACAAAGAACCAATGGATTTCTTCAAGGTCTATTGCACTGATGGATTCTCGTAAACATCCCATCAGGCTCTGAACACGATGAAAAGCGACAACAAATCAGATCTAGGTTAAGCAAATGTCTAAAGAACGACCATGAACAGTGGTGGGCAACGAAAGCAAAAGAGATGGAAAAGGCGGGGGCTATAGGGTACACAAGACACCACCAATACAAGAAACTGGAATTAATAAGTCAAGTGTATGTGACAACATTTCGGAAAAAGACGACACTCACATCTGCTCCTAGTCCAGACGTTTAGAACGATGGGCCGAACATTTTAGAGAACAGTTCAGCTGGCCTTCAGCTAATGTACAACCACACACCATTCCCATACAACTTGAATGGAACATTGAAGTAGGTCCCCCAACTCTAGCAGAAGTTCAAAAGGCTATAATTAATCTGAAACGATGAAGGGCAGCTGGTCCAGATGGATTGCTCCGAGGTCGTTAAGGATGGTGGCCCAATTTTAGCGATTAGGTTTACTAATATTTTAGCTAAAATCTGCGAGTTGCACATAATCCCATCTGACTGGTTACCATAACTGATTGTCCCAATACATAAGAACGGGTCAAAATCATCCTGTGATACTTATAGAGGGATTAGTTTGACTAACATAGCATCTAAAATACTAGCCTCAATAACCATCGTGCCCCAAACGTAGACTCGTGAACTGCAAACACGAAAAAATTAGGCTGGATTCAGACCTGGTCGCACCTGCATCGACCACATATTCACCATTAGTCAGATTCCATAACACAGGCATACTTACCGGCGTCCGACAATCGTGGTCTTTCTTGACTTAAAAGCAGCATTTAATTCCGTAGACCGCGAGATTCTGTGGCAGTGTCTGTCATTGAAAGGTGTACCTCAGAAGTACATAAACCTCGTGAAGGCTCTTTACTCGAACACTAATAGTCGAGTCAGAGCTTATGGCGAGCTGTCATCTGTCTTTGCAACCTCAAGTGATGCTCGTCAAGGCTGTCCACTTTCTCCATTTTTGTTTAACTTCATCATAGACCTACTGATGGAAATAACGTTCTCGTCGACTGAATTCTTGGGCATTGATCTCCTTCCGCAAGGTCCACTTATCGACTTTGAATACGCAGACGACGTAGTCCTATTGGGTAGAGTAGCTGATAAAATACAGTCTTTTGGTAGCACTAAGCAACAATGCCAGAATGTTTGGAATGCGCTTCTCTCCCTTCAAATGCAAGTTGTTGCTTTAGGACTGGTCTGCATCAACACCTGAACTAAGCATGGTGAGTGAAGTAGTCGAATGCGTTGACTACTTCACTTATCTTGTAAAACTGATCAGCTTTAATGAGTTGGTGTCTGACGAAAGCTTTGCATGGATTCAGAAAGCTCGTTTGACTTTTTGCAACTTACCTCACCTATGAGATATCGGTCTGTCAAATAAAAGACGAGTATAGTGTGCGGCAGTTCGTTCTGTTCTATATTACGGATGTGAAACGTGGCCATTAAGAGCTGAATATACTCGTAAGCTACAAGTATTTGACCACAGATGCCTTAGAAATATTGCTCGCGTCTGCTGGGATCATCGGGTAAGTAGTAGTGGGTTAGACTCAGGGTATTAGGAAATGATGGTAAATCAGTTGATGAGGTTGTGAATTCTCATAGACTGAGATGGCTGGACCATGTGTTGCGTATGCTTGAACACCGATTACCACGACGTGCAATGCTAACCGGTGGTGGAGATGATTGGAAGAAAGTCAGGGGAGGCCACACCAAAACGTGACATAGTAAATAAAATGACTAAATTCTGGTTTGATCTATGTTGGTGGACGCAGACTACTTTGTTGGGGTCCGCGCGACTATCGTAGACAGTGGTTGGAAACTCTGGGTGACATGGCTCAGGATCGATCACAATGACGTCGGTGTATTCACTCTCGGTTTTCCCTTAAACTATGAGATTAAAATCACTTCATATCTTTCTTTCTACGAACTAACCCTTTCTTCCTGTACTATGTCCTTATATGCAATCTTCCTTCTATATATTAACCCCATTGAAGTAACTACTATGAATCCGGTGTTCATCTTGCTGTGCTAATGCGGTATGGCAACTTGGACGGATGCACAGATGTGCCTAGTCCCACGTTGTAGCTGACTGACTGACTGAATTAAGAGCCTTCCTCATAAGGTTACTGAGTCTTCCATTTATGATTTTCCTATATTTGAAATTGTTCCATAGTATTAGCGAACCTTTTGCCGCTTACTTACTAACATCCACTGAAACAATACAACTGCAGGTTAGATGAAATCAACCAACCATGGATCACAGTATAGTGCATTAAACTCAAAATAATAAAAAAGGTAAAAGAACAACCTGGGAAACTGCTTTTTTCACTTACACCATGAGGCCACTTCGCTAACATCTTATCATTCCATTCACCTTCAACAATAAAAAATGCCTTCTTATCATTAGGTCCAAAAACCTCAGCACGTAAAGTATCCCGTTTACCACCATAAAAAGGTTTTGTTCGAAACTCGATATTAGCTACATAACCAGTTTTTAAGCATGTGATGCTAGTTTTCCCACCCAATTCAATCCAGGGAACAGTGAGAATGTTTCTGTGATAAAATGTAAACGAGCATAACAATATACACGATTATTCGTGCATAAATGTGAAAATAAATAAGAATTAAAAACAGGAATGTTAAACTTAAAACATGAAAACTATCCTTTATAACTAGTATTAAAATAAAACAGGCAACAATTGGTTGAAATAGTAGTTAAAATAGAAAATGACTTACTATTTGCTAATTGATGAGATGCATGACAAGACTCTATAACAGGTATATTTGAGGGGAAAATAAGTGCATTCTTCAACAACAACTTTTAATAGACCAGATCTATACAGATACGTTTTTATTTAATCGTCGGAATTTAATTATAATCAGTTGTATCATGAGCTTCGTAAGCTGATAAATAATTTTTAGTCTTGATTGCATATCTCATACTTAGGTGATAGTTTCAATCCATTATTATTACTAAACAAGTCAACTAACCAGCAAAATTTTTTTTGTATTTCACTGAGTTTTATAAACCATTTATCTACTTTGAATAGTCCAGTTTTGATAAAACAAAATATTTTAACTCCTTTACAAAAACTATTTCAAAGAGTAATCCAGCAAAAATTAACTGTTACTATGACTACTGTAAAGTTACTTGGATCTGTGCACATATGTGCCAGGTCTTAAATGATTTATGACTAGCTAACTTAAAACTATAACAAAAAGTGAAAGACTTGTCCTTCGAAAAGAGATGAAAATGAAGTGTATATATAATACAGAGAGAAACGATACTAAAGCAAGTATTTACTTTGATCTATCTACGTACAATAGGAGCTTGTATCACATGATTTGTTTACTAAATTCATTTAATCAATCATATAACCTAATTAAAGGAAATTTCGTGCTAACATTTCAAAATAAAACAAATTGTGTTCTATATTTAGAAAATCATACGATACTTAGCTTCCGGACTTTAGTTTGATGGACTGACACACCAAAGAAAAAAATTAAATCAGAAATATACGGGATATTTATAGTGGATGCTAATGATTCCTAACTGCGCTTTAACAGTCCGTTGTTAGCTGCTAAAGATACATTTTTAGTGTGTTAGTCTGATACACCATTGCCTAGTAAACGGTAAAATGTCAACAACAAAAAAACACTTCAAATCAGTTAAACAACATTATTTTACTTGACTCTATATCATAAAAACACACATTAATTCACAAGTTTTCGATAGAATTACGTATTCTGAAATGAAATTAATCATTTCTTTTCAGACAAGCAGCAAGTAAAACAAAAAACAACCCAAAAATGGATTGATTAACCCAATCCACACTATAATGTAAATAATCACTCAAAAATGTATACCAACCTGCCATATCCACATGGAAACGTAACCACATATTCTTCATCATGATTTAGTAATGATATGACAGCTGAACCAACCATTTCTACAGCTATACTTAGACCAAGAAATTTTGATTTAGTCCACAAGTGTCCATCTACAGCTATTTGATTATTAACATGTTCAGCATAAAAGGCGGATATAGGAGGATGGTGTGAGACCTAATGGCAGAAATTTATAAAAAAATAAACATTTTAGAAATACGATCATATCACATATTTGATGATCAGTATCGCTGATAAAAATGAAATATGCATTGAACATGCTTACAGGATACTAGAATTTCAATAAATGTCATATTAACAATATGTTTATTCACATAACATGTACGAGACACATAATATTGTGACTGATTCACGAACGATCTAGTAACGATGCTATAAGCTTCCACATAAACCACTACAACAACTAACTGGTAGTTACAACTTATAAAATCTGTAGAATTTAACATTCTGAATATGAAAAATAAGTACCCCATGTTGAAGGTGAAGTTGTATGTAGTATATGCCCTTTTATTTTCTCAATGCAACAAACACATATTTTGGTTTGTCTACAGTGACTGGTCTCATATTACTGAAAACTGAGTTAACGTTTTCGTAAACCTTTGTTTAGTGAATGAAATTTACCTCTATTTGTAAAAAACAAACCACTGAATAGAAACGTTTTCAGCCCGAACAACCACTACTAGCTATTTTTGTTTGCATCGGTACTAATTAAAGCTTCAAAACTGGATAAATGAAAGGAGAAAATGCATTGATATGATAATAGTACAGCGAAATCACAAATGGAAAAAAGTTTGATATACCTCACATTATGAAAAAACCCGTATAATTCATGATAATCATTAAAGTATGGTCTCTAGAAATCCGGTAGATTTTATATAATAGAGAGAATTAAAAAACACATATGAAGGCAACTCAAATCACTATGTCTATTTAGTAAAGCTTTAGACAACAATAGAATCCACAACAGAAGATATGACGACAGTGGAGACCTACCTGTTCTGCTAAGAAGACTACGGAATTGTGAGGCGCCCAAGGAACAGGACCAGAATTATATAATTTGTCCTGTGGTTTTTCTGATGCATTTGTCGAATCATCTCCACTCTCTGCAGATAAAGGCCAATAACAACGAAATATTTCACCTAATGTAGGATTGTAAGGTTTCTTAGCAACTGATGATCGTCTGCCAGCATGGAATGCAGACAAATACCACCGAAGACAAGCAACCATACGATCACGAGGCGTCGATGCATTAGGAATAACAGCCCATAAATCAGCATGTGCTAAAAAGTCTGCATACATTTCCAGTGTAGAACGACGTTCGAGAATGAATGTGGGCAAAGTGATTCTAGTTAAATCCATTCCGATCCGAAGCTGAGAAAGGAGATGTGTTATCACAGAACCGTGAGATTGCACAGAACCTACTTAATAAACAACAAAATACAGAAGTGAGAATAAGTAAACTTAAGAAATACTGGTTGTTTTAAATTTTGACAAAATCTACAAAAGTACCCATAGTTTAACTTTAACAAAGAAAATAGATTCCTTAGAAACATACTTCTCACTGTGGTAGAAAATAGGCGATCGTAATAACAAGTGTGAAGCATGAAGGCCGTGCTCTTTAGTAGAACTAAGAAAAGGACTACATGTCGAACAATAAGCTTAATTAACTACATCATAACCAGAAAACGATTATATGTAAAAATTATATTTCAACAATAAGTATTTCAGTATGAAGAACAAAAACAAAATTCATTTAATTATTAAATAAACCAATATCCCACTGAAACAATCAAATCCAAACACTAACAATCCAACTATAGTGATATTAAAACCATTACTGAAGCATCAAAAAAACAACAGACATAGCAGTCACATTAAAAACAGTAACTTCCAATCAAATACCTGAATTCCGCAGCTAAAAGAAGAAATAGTACAAACCAGTACGTGCATATCAACCAAAATGACACATGACTGCAACTGAACAGTAACGCAAGGAGCCCTCCAACTTCGTGTATTCTGTAGCTAACAAGCAAAATAAGACTCCCAACCAAATAATACAATAGTCTCTCACAGATTTCTACTTTAGAGATTAAGATTGATACCAAACGCCCAGTGGGGAGAACTATGTTTACAAATCGTCAACCGAAATTACAGCAAGTTTAATTTTTTGGTGGAGTTTTGTTCTCAGGACCCTCCTGAATATTAGTAAAATCTTCTTTATGAGTGTAAAACAAGCATCAATAAATTAACATTACAGATCAGTACTAACCGTAATTACAACTAAAGATATAAACCAACCCTCTAAAATATGGAGGAGTTAAGTAAATGATATAAACATACAATTAAATTATGATAGTTAAATATACACATAAAAACATAAACAACTGCATTTCACAGGAACGATCATGATTTAATTTACTTACACTCTTCTTCTTTTTCATCATCATACAATTCGTCGAAGGTATCATCCAAAGACGAATTCGTCTGATTATTTGATGATGACTGACTTGAACGATAACGACCAGATTTCATTACAGGCACAGTTGGATTTGAATGCATGTTTAGAATTGTATTACTAAAATACAAAAGTGAGGTGTTTAAATGAAGGAATGGAGAAAAAAGGTACATCAAAACACTGTAGTCTGTGTGAATGCATAACAATAAAAAAGCCTATATAGTAGCAACCATGTATTTTGAGTTTAAGATATTCGACTGCCAAAACTGCTAACGGACCATTTCATTCTATTTGAACAACAAACTAATGTTACTATTATTGATAAAAAATCCGAGGCCCAAAGACAAGAACATGAACTACTACTTGGTTGTCAAGTTGCATGATAGGAATTTATAAAACCGCGTGAATATTCATAATAATGAAACTACTACTATTTATACTATACAACAATAAGCTTATATTTGTCTAGCAGCATCTTGAATACAATCGTAAGGCAATGACTTTGATTATTTTAGGTAGATAAATTGTGTCTGAGACGATTTTCAAATGGAATTGTATTAATATGAGCAATATCAAACATACCAGTAGCATACATCTACAAAAAGTAGTCACAGTAATTTTGTACCAACGTAATCAAACTATCAAATATATATATATATATATATATATATATATATATATATATATATATATATATATTAAGAACACAAATTCTGTTCGTACAGAAATCTCACAGGTACACTGGCATTAGTACAATATGTTATGCTCGTGCGTGGACGTACATACACGCGCGTACAAACAAACTTACGACGACTAAACGTCTATAAGCACCTCGAGAAAATGTTGAGTTGTAGTACGTAAAATAATTAAAAACTCATCGTTATATATAGTATCGTCTTGTATCTAAATCGATAATTAATGTAATATCATTCATGAAAATATTTTAGTCATTAAATTTTGTGAGTCCATATCTTTATTCCTAAAAAAAGACAGCATTTCATTGTTGTCAGTAATTACAAAACAATTAACAACAGCATTGTTGCGATTATATCCAATCATCAGCAACCAAGAAGAAACAGAATGTGAAGGTCATACTCAAATGATCTTTTGGCAATCAGAATGTTTTAACTTTTAATACGAGATTAATTAACACTTCGATTTATACTGCGTACGATAGCGTTTACTCTATTAAAAAGTTGGGTTTGATTATTAAAGAACTTCAGTGTTGACAAGTTAATGATAATTTGAAATTCTGTGGGAGAACTTGTGACACACACACACACACAAGTTAGCGAGTGAGAAAAAATCAAGATCCTAATACGTAACCCAGTAAAGTCTTTTACATAATACAATAACTAGTCCTACTGAAAACCTATCTAAAACGAATGGTGATAAATCATGTTACCCCAGAAAAATGTAAACATGGCGTCAGCTGTTTACAAATCTATACAAAGTTGAATGAGTTTCCCATCAGCCACTTATCCACAACGCACAACCTGGTACATATATGCATCGTGTCAATTTGCCTCACCGCGTCAGTATGTCGAGAAGCCAAATTAGTAGGAGTAGTAGCAATTCTAACGGTATTAAGAATTATGCATGGAAAATATGATTCAAAGATCACTGGATTTGTAGAACAAAAAGTAAAATAAATAATAATTTCAGAAACATACTATTCAAAGGAAGATAGAGTGAATGAGTCTTTATTATTTATGACTGATTCTCAGCCATGTCACACCCAAAGTCTTCTAGCAATGGTTACGATAAACGCACGGATACCGATAAAGTGGTCTGAGCTTATTTGCACGGCTCCGTCAATGAATTCATGTATTGATATCACGCTTTGAGTTCGGCGGTCCCTAGAAACCTACCCCTATATAGTACATCGAGGCAAACAGTAGTTGAACATGCATAATACATGTCTCAACTACCGCAATCGATCAAGTCAAGATATACAACCTAACCAATAGATTTTCATAAGGCATTAGTCATTAATAATTAAATAAATAAATATACTTTTATTATTTCGATAGAATACAATAATTCTATTATGATCACAACTTCATTTCATTCTTCAACAGACGCACATGACGACGAAATTTGGTGGGACCTTTGAAACAATAGAAACTACTTTGCGAGTTAGCGTTCGTTACGATTCAATACATTTAATATTTACTTCACGCAGTAAATAAAAAAAGTTGGGATATTTTAACTTTCAACTCTTCAATAAATAAGAACTGAGTAGTTAGATTCAAATCATACCCATTCACTGATAAAGTCTTTATGAAGACGACAATTCAGTGTCCAAACTGGAAAAACCGGAGTTTAACACACAGAATCTCTACTTACTATAATTCTCATGCTAAACTTTTATCAATTAGTTTCACTATTTTGAGATATGTACATAATAAACCTAAAAGGAACTGAAATTAAAGCTAACGGAATATTCTGAAATTATCCGTATTTGAAAGTATTACATACTGTCAACGTGAGTAGCAACTAACACATAAAACTACTATGTTAGGACTTAGCTAATTAGACCAATTCATCGAAAAAAGTAACCACAGAGTTTGGATGAATTATTACATACTCCTTGACAGGTTGTGGAGAATTTGTTATTGCGCAGTTGACAGAAATATCTTCTTGAGTATCAAAGAATTCTTCATCCTCTTCTTCTTGATCCAATTGAGCCTGATCATCATCTGAAGAAGAATAAGACCTAACTGGCATTCTTGGAATGGACAATGGTGGATAATTAGAAGAGGGTGAATCTAATGTATCAAAGCATCTTTTCACAATCACAGTATCATTAGGGAGTGATGAAGAAATAGTAGCTAGCTGCTCAGGATGTGAACGTATTGAATGGGATTCGATGGATGATTCTGTAGTAGAAGATGGCCGCTTATGTAATTTTCCTTTTTCCAAACGTCGAGAATTACGAGTAGAATGTTTTCTGGAAAGTTTCTGTGTTATAATAGGGGAAGCATTAGATAATGACTCTTGACAAGAAGTGAATGGATTTTCACCATCACCTTCACCACTTTGAAGGTTCATAAATGTATTATTTATCTCATGTACTTTTAAATCATAATCTGAAAGAGAAGTAAAAATAAAAATGATAAATACATATGAGTTATTCAGACTATGACTTTACAATAATAATGGACAATTAGTAAACAAAGTTGACTCTTTAAAAAATGTATCTACAACTGTACAAGTGAAATCAGTTTAGAAATGCACTTCTGATGATTTGAAGCAATAATCAGCAAGGTAGTTTGCCAAGACAGAAGGTAAGTACAAACACTACGTTTTATTTAGTGACAAGGGCTGGAAGATCGAATTAAAGAATATAACAGTTCAAAGTCACGTGAAAGTGCTTTCGTCTATTTGTATAATCACAGGACATCTGCAACAAGCCCGATCCTGAAAATAAAATATCATACACTAAAATTACACTATATGATATAAATAACTGACATTTATTAGGATAGAAAACACTACTGAATTAAATTCATAGCTAGGTAAATAACAGGACTGACTTAGAAAAAATTTGACAACACAACTATATAATATTTTAATATAAGCATATTTCTGCTAAGATTTGGATGGAGACAATATTTATTACTTGTTAAAGGTCAAAGGTTAACTAAATTATAAGTAACTGCTTTGTAAATAATCTAGTTAGATACATTCGGTCCCCCTTTATGAATTTGAATAAAGCAAAATAATATGAATTTATCTTATATATATAGTTATAGTTATTACTGATAATGAGATTAAGTCTTACAAATTTGATTAACATTGAGAAATTAAATTAAAGAGAATAAACACATATTCGACCTAATCTATGAATGAAATAAATAACACTTTAGAATATACCTTTCACTTTCAATGTAGAAAAAGCACTGTTTGATATAGACGTATCGAATTGTAAAGTTTGCGGAATGTCAACTGCATCAGAAACAATGTTGTCATTCAAAGTAATCGGTATACGATATGAACTATTGACTGAACCCTAAAGTGTATACAGAAAGATATATTTTCAAGATGAGAAAGATAATGTTTTGAGATTCAAATTAAAAAAAATTATTTCCATATTGATCAAAGTTAGTTGCTAAATCAAAAACTTAAAAGCATATATAATAGTTAAAAGGAAAGTAAGTTTATCAAAAATGTCACTTAATTCTATTTGATTTATATTAATGAATGATCGATATTTCATTAAAAATAAACAATATCCTTGTCATGTATCTTATTATATTAGTTCAACAAACCAATTAGGTTAACAAGGTAACTTCTGTAGCGATGAGTTCATTTTGTGACAATTTAGGATATACTGACAGCAATGTAGAAATCTAGAATTTACTCGGTGATTTGAAAAATAATAATAATAATAAAACATATATTGGAAAAATTAAGCGACGTAGGCACACAAAAAAGGTACCGAGCATGTAACTCAACTAATTTGAATGATGCAACCTTAAAAAGCATAGACCCTACAAAATCAAGTATGGACAAGTAATAGTTTTATCAGAATATTTATCAAACAACAAGTACTGCAAAGATAGATTCAAAAACAATCCCAAGTAAATAACATCCTGTGAAAATGATAACAAAATCTGACCCGATTTACAGCCATAATGAAGTTCATACAAAATTAGAGACAACATTGAAAAATAAGAATACATTATATGAACAGGGCTTTGATACTGCTCGGGTGCCCAGACCGAAGCAGGTGGTTTTCTTAGAGGGCCACACCCCGAGCCTTTGAACTAAAAGTCTAACACACAAGGCAGTGAAGCATCGTTAGGAGATGCAGTCCTATGGCAGCCGGTGACCAAAGATTGGTTCTTACTCCATTTGTTCCCTCAGCATACCAGAGCTGATGTGCACCATTGATTTGGGATCCGGTTAAAGAACTGGATGCAGCAGCTGCATCTGGTAACTACCGGAAGCTCTTCCAACTCATCCGAGCCACTGGCAGCAAGTCTGGTGTGAGTGAAACAATATGTGAGGATGATGAAATGACAATCACTAGCACCCATCGACATCTTGGACGATGGGCAGAATTCTTCAAAGGGCAGTTCAACTGGCCTGCTGCACCGGCAACATCGGTTGGACTGTCCTGCTCTCCATAGCCTGTGACGATTTGTCCACCAAATGAAGCGAAAGTCCACAAGGAACTCCAACTCTTGAAACGCTACAAATCACCGGGCCCAGATGACTTACCTCCGCCTCTTTTTAGAGATGGTGGTGACTTTCTGGTTGAGGAACTGACAACGTTGTTTACAAAGGTCCGGGAGCTAGAGAGTGTACCAACGTCATGGAATGAGTCGATAGTTGTCCCCATCTTAATCAGCTGGCAATCAGTGTCCATAGGTACGGTATGTACTTTGCACCTTCTAGACTTGCAGGACCCTGATCCTGTATTCATACTGGATGGTGAGCAGATAGAAGTAGTCGAGAAGTTCGTGTTTCTAGTTAACTGCATAAGTGCTGGTGGGGGTGTGAGTGATGAGATCAATACACGTATAGTGAAAGCCAGGGCGACTTAGACCAATCTGGGACATCTTTGGCGCCATCGTGATGTCAGTCTGACTGTAAAAGGTCGGATCTACAACGCGTTGGTGAGAGCAGTTCTGCTCTATGCTTGTGAAACCTGGCCTCTTCGAGTTGACAATGTTAGACGACTCTGTGTTCGATCATCGCCGTCTTCGAAGTATTGCTGACATCCAGTGGCAACACCATGCTAGTAATGCAGAGGTTCGACATCGTGTGTTCGGGCACAGAGATGATAATTCAATTGGCGTCACCATTTTGAAACATCGACTTCGATGGCTTGGACATGTTCTACGAATGTCGTCCCAGAGAATTCCACGTCGCGCATTATTTGCCGATTCTAGGACTGGTTGGAAGAAGCGGAGAGATGGTCAGTGTATGATATGGTGTTGTGGTGTGAAAGAAAGCGGCAAAGGGCTGGTTTCTGTTGGTCCTTATCGACTCCCTGGCTAGGGTCTGAGAGATGGCGCAACACGGTGGCTAGAGACGTTATCAGATATAGCTCAGAATAGAAGCCAGTGGCGATCCTGCTGTAACCTTCTTTTACTTTCTTCATAAAAAGTGATTGTATCTTACTTGACTGAAAGATTTCTTCTGATTGTACAATCGAAACTAATTTGTTCATAACCTATAACACAAAAGTTAATTTAATGGGCGGGAGAAGAGATTAATTTGTTTCAAAAAACAGTATAGCACACAACAAAGAGTCTTTTAGCTTGTTACAGTACTACTGTAGTGAACAAGAACACGTGTGGGGACAAACGGATGTATTTAGCATAACAATTACAGACTATCTCAACAAAATCTGAATACCATATAGTAAATCGTCAATTTGCAAAATATCCATGCATCAAATCAAACTGGACTGTTTTTGTTGCAAACATCAATCCATTGTCTCCCATTCCATTGTTCATGCGTTTTCTTACAAATTCCGTTGTGTTCTCGCTCTTCCTTTCTTGAACTTCGCCATCTTCTGCTGCCGGATATTACGTTCATTTAACGCACGTTATATACTACTTATATCAATATAAGTAGCTCACACCACTACTAATAATAATAAGTTAAATATTATAATCAAAGGATTTTTTTTCTATTTACACTATCAAATAAGTATTCATATCCTAAACTGAGATGTTAGAAAAGTGACTAATATCATAATCCAGACAGATTTCGTGGGGAAAAAATTAAGTGGATTGTGATTTGTTATGAAAAAAATAGTGAGACAAAGATACGTATTATATATTACAGTGCAGAAAGCCTTCGGACTGTGACAAGTGACAGATATCGTGGTTAAAATACTTGAAAAATGAATTCACCTAAACAATAATTTAAATTGTAACTTGAACATTAAATGTTAAAACAGGGTTTTCTTAATTAAAACTTTTACAAAACAATAATCTCGGCAAGGGAAATTGTTAGGATGTTCAGAAAAATATACCAATAATTATCGTGTTAAGTCTAATGGTGGCCTTGGACTTTAAATGTACACTCCCTATTGGTCGGTATTTATTTCACTTGTTAAATATTGTATAAATGTTGTTTTCTATTTTATGGTACTATGTGGTTTGTTTGGTTGGTATATAAACAGAGTATGTCTGAAATATAATGATTCGTATCTCAGAGGCTGTGACTTGCGTTCTGGACTCAACTGGCTGGGCTAGACAGGGAAGCGGGACCAATCGAGACTCTAGGCCGTCCGTACGTGTTTTTCCGTGTCGCTGAATCGATCGATAAATACGCTGCTCCATAATCTGCACTCACACGTTACAACAGAAATACTATGAATAATCCATACAATGGGTAAAGTTAAACGACAAGAAAACCGTCAAGTAACGAAACTACGTGTAACAAACAGTTCCAGAAAAAAATGTAAACAAAGAATACAATGAAAATCCAAGCTGTGAATTGAAGCCATCATGTATTCTTACATGCAATTAGCTACATTAATCAAGTAAATGAGATATATGCCTATGATGAGTGGACAAACCAAACAATTATTTCCAAGAATTAATAAGGTATTACAAAAAAATCTTTTAAAAGACTAGAATGCACCACAATAAATAACCAGTTACACATTTGTACACTTAACTATTGCATATATTACATTCAGTCAATGACTTTTCAATACTATGAAGTCTTAGTTTGTCGAGTCGAAACTAAAGTAGGGATGAAAAATAACTTTTCATGTATTGTACATGAATGATAGAAAAAAGATAATTCGGTCATTTGAAAACAACTTAAATCCAGAAGTTCGTGAATAAGAACAGATTTATTAGATCAACCCTAAGAACACACAGATATACCATCATTCCACAATAATCACTATTTCTAAATAATAATTAAACGGTGGCAAAAATATACTAGTTACGGAAAAAGAATAACTGACGAAATACCGAGTATCACTATAGACGTAGAAGCAAAATGAATCTTCAGCATTAATCCAATGACCTTTCTATTAGGTATGGATTGAATATATAACCACGATACAACCCTAATAGATTGTACACCAACCAACAATTAATTCCAAATACTAACCGATACAATTATTTACTGTGAGCACTTATGGTAAAATAGGATCCTGTTAACAGAAGTATACGAAATTTCCTCCTTATTGCGTCACCCTGATAAGTTCAAAACAAAAACATAAAACAAAGATAAGAGCATCACTGAAACCATGAGTAGAGTACACGTATTTAAATACTATATATATATTCCATAAATATGGGGAAAATATTTACTGAAACTTGGCGTAATAAATATGAAGCAATAGTAGAATAAACATTCAGATGAACATTAGGTGTAGTGAGAAGTAACTTATATACTCTATATATCTTTTCTAAATAGAAAATGTTCACTGTCAATTTGTTTACATTCTGTTAAGCTAATATTTTCTGTTATGGACTGACATAATCAATAGAAAATAAATTAGACTAAAAACTAAACAGCATAAGAATATATATATATATATATATATATATATAGAAAGTGCAAATTTCCTTATACAACCAGCTGTTAATGGCTTTCATAGACTAGTGTCAGTTAGATATTGGTGCAATGGTCAAGCAAAGATATTTTTCAACGTACATGTATTTAAGCAAATATTCCAAGCCAAAATAGGTGACAGCATTGTATGAGTAAACAAAGATCACAGATGAACTAACTTGAACAACTGGCTAGACGCTTAAAGTTTGAATAAAAAAGTGGAAGTAGTTAGTTCTTTTTTTAAATCTCTGCGAAACATGTTACAAAGTACATTCATACTAAACACCGAAATCTATTTTTAATAAACGTAAAACATTTAAATAAAACTGCGAAAGGAAGCTGCAGACATGAAAAGGATGAATAGCAATTGGGAAGGACTGTCCAGGACTAGGTTGGATGGAGAGAGGTGGTGGGTGGCCTATGCTCCTCTAGAAGAGGTAACAGGGGCAATTAAGTAAGTGAAAGGAAGTTGCATGATTCCTGAACAGTTATAATATAAACACATTAATGCTGCAACCAACCCCTTCTGAGAGTTCGGTGAACACTTATCGAAAACATAAGAAATATGATTATCAATTTTAGCCATTTATATTTAAATAACAAACTATAGAGATAAGCTAAATATGAGGCAAAACAACATCGCACACAGTATACATATATTAACAACAGAACTAGACGCGTTATATAAAGAATTAAAAAAACGTTATAAAAACACACCGAATAGTAATTAATAAAACAAGCAGAACAGAGAAACGTAAGTATACTAAAGTAAATTATAAGGAATATGAGTGAACTACACTATAATCAGACCACAGAATGTTAGTAATTCTCAGAGATGAAGCTAAAAACATGAGACGCTAGATCACAACCCAGGATATCAAAATTGATGTATTTGATAAAATCGGAAAGGACATAAAAAACTGTACGCAAAAACACCGAAGTATTTAAATGATAACTAGTTTAGCAAAATATTGTGGAGTGTGCTACTGATGTCGATAGATATAAGTAGTATGAATCATCAATCGAAAGTGAAGTGCCTGGAAGCAGAAGGTTAAGAAGTTCGAAGAAAAGAGAACGAGAACAGTAAATGTTTGTTGTAGAAATGAAGGAACAGTGAAGTCTGAGACGATTGATTGACATTTGCAAAGGGAACAGTCAAATTTGAGATAATTGATTGACGTTTTGCAAATTAACTATTAACTGTATGGCTCTCAGATTTTACCAAGATGTCCTGTAATTTTGTATTCAAATACATCTAGTTGAACCTACTTGTGTCCTAGTTCACCACAATATAATAAAACAATCTTTAACAAATAACTTTATCAACATAACACTGTTAATATTTTCTTATGCAATTAGTGTAATTTTTATGCCATTAGTTAACGAATATGAGGTATTTTTAGGTCCCAATACAAAAGTGGTCGTACGCTAACAATTTCAGATATCTTCTCAAATCTCCAAAATCTTAGAATAGAAATGGTAGGGAATATTATAGAAAATCCATTAGTCAATTAAAAACTACTTTCTGAATAAATAAGTGGTGTGGATCACGCAACTAAAAAACACCCATCAATTGTAATACTAAAATGAAATTGATTTGTGAGATTATTGATTATAATCAAAATTATTGAATTAATCTTAGGAAATGAGGCAATAGCAGACAGTCACGATTGTGCCATACCTCAAATCAGCACAGCGGAAAAGCAAGAAAACAATACAGGGAAAGGAGAGTACTTAAGTTCAACTCCAATGAATGCTGAAACATGAGAAAAACTGTTAAAAGAAATTAGATTGAAGAGTGAAGAATCAGGAAACAAATTTAACACAAAACTTAGACGAATAGAGATGAGTGTAACTGCATCACTGTGACTGGCTTTGTGCCATGTCGCAAAAAATCCCCAACGAATGAATCAGATTACTGAGTGGACGCTAACCAGAACAGTGCAGATCACAATAGGCGGCAGTTACACAAACGTAAAACATGCTCTAATCATTTCAATGGATTAAAATTTATAGACTCATTATTGAACTCGGAAATTTATGATCCAGAACGTGCACTCTGTACATATTTTCTACTTTTCTAGACTACATTTTATATTCATACACTGAAACAAAGCGGAGTGTTTTATAGTATATTCAGCGTTTGGTTGGTAAGCGGACGTAGCACAGATAGCGAAAGAAAGCAAGAGCTATGGGAGCCTTCTATACAACTTCAGAGATTTTGTCACATAGTAACCTAACAGCTTTGATGAAAATCCCAAGATAAGTGAAGTGATTATCACCCTCATTTCCTATGGTAAAACAAGCAATGATGCAGATCAAATAGAAAGTAGCATCTCATGTTGATAAGGAGATATATTTTGTCAGCCTCGTACATAAACCAAATTCAAGTATTCTAATAATCAAAGAGACGTAGAAACGAGAATGTAGACCGTCAGTAAATTTGAAGCCAACACAAAATATTGCTCAGTCACGACTGATATTAGTATGTTTCGGAAACAAATTTCAATTCATATTAATTTATAGGCTATTATCATTAATATTCAACTTACTCTGGCAAACTGGAGGCATACAATTGTCTTTTTCACCAGTTCGATAAGCCTCTGTAAACATTGAAAAATGAAAACAAAACACCGGTAAGCATGATCAATGAGACAGTTTATTACAAAATATGTAAGTGGTAAATGATGAAAGGAGAAAGGCAGGGAGGAAAGGTGGGAAGGTAAAACATTAGTCATTTCAATTTAGTATACTGTTACACACACCAGATGAAAACAAAGTGTTTAGCTTGCTCTTCTGAAATACTTATTTAAGCACGATCACCACGTCAAGATAGCAGCAACGGTCGGGTCATGAAATCTAATGTAAAATTGTCCCAGGTACTACAACGATAATGACTAACTGACTTTTGAAACATTTGAATCTGAAAGTGTTGAAATATCGGATAAAGAAAACAAAAAGAAGCATGTCACTCAAATCATTAACCAATCCATGGACATTTTTCGATAGACTTGATATACCATCCAATGAAAATAGTAATGATCAAACACGAGGCCAGAGAATAATACAAGAGTGTAGACAATAAATACATATGTGCAAATATTGACAGCATAATTAGTATAAACAACTTAACGCATTTTAAGTGGACAGGAGAAACTGTTAGCTAGGTATGGAAAAGCTAGTAAATCAATTATCTTTCCAAGTTCATGATGATGATGCTATGTATCAACATGAAGAAAACCAACACAAATGGAATACCCAACTAAGAGAACAAAGGGTCAATAATATGAAACATAATAGTCATATAACATAACTAATTAGGAATTACGATTTGAATAACTGAAATAAAACACAGTTGATCAACAAAACTTCCATTAATTGAGTAATCTGTACTTTAATTTCCCCAATTCAAAACAATAATGATGTTTTGTGTTACGATAAGAATTTTCCTAATCGTCGCATAAATCTTATTTGAAATTAGCATATGCGATTTCCTAAAACCATTTACTGATGAAAATCTAAAGAAATAAATAATCTTAAGAAACAAGGTAACCATAATTGTGCAGTATTATTACTAGTCCTAAACAAATAAAAGTGGAGTACAAAAAATGGACATGTCTACGCCTAACATAAATGTGTACCTTTGTTAGTATTCCTTTTTCTTTCTGCCAAATAATATAGCATCAAACAGAGTTATTCTGATTGACAACCATGATCGGTAAAACATTATAACACAACAGGTACAGTTAAAATCCTTAAAGATAATGCGACAGAAACCAACAGACACCTTCGAATATGGCAGTTGAAATACATGTTAATTAAAAATATCAGTCAGCAAATTCATGATTCTTTCCAACCAATAGGCTAAACAGTCAATTAACATAAGTTATTACCAACTATTTATTGTAAAATAAATAGGGGTTTCCTCTACCTGACTACTAATATTACAATTGAAGCAAACAGTTTGCGACGAATTACGTGTCAATACTTACTTACTTACTTACGCCTGTTACTCCTCGTGAAGGAGCATAGGCCGCTCACCAGCATTCTCCATCCAACCCTGTCCTGGGCAATCCTTTCTAGCTCCGTCCAGTTGTAATTCATCGTTTTCATATCTGCTTTTATTATCCGACGCAATGTGTTCTTTGGCCTTCCTCTTTTTCGCTTCCCTTCAGGATTCCAAGTTGGGGCTTGCCTCGTGATGCAGTTTGACGATTTGCGTAATGTATGTCCTATCCATTTCCATCGTCTTTTCCTAATTTCTTCTTCAGCTGGAGGTTGGTTTGTTCTCTCCCACAGAGGCTATTGCTGATGGTATCCGGCCAATGGATGTTGAGTATCTTGCGTAGACAACTATTTATAAATACTTGTACCTTCTTGATGGTGGTTGTTGTAGTTCTCCAAGTTTCAGCTCCATACAGTAGAACTGCTTTGACGTTGGTATTGAAGATTCTCACTTTGATATTGGTTGAAAGTTGTTTTGAGTTCCATACGTTCTTTAACTGTAGGAATGCTGTCCTTGCTTTGCCAATCCTTGCCTTTACGTCTGCATCTGAACCTCCTTGTTCATCGATGATGCTTCCCAGGTATGTGAAGGATTCTACATCTTCCAGAGTTTCGCCATCAAGAGTGATTGGATTGTTGTTTTCCGCTTTGAATTTGAGAACTTTGGTTTTCCCTTTGTGTATACTGAGGCCTACTGATGCAGAGACTGCTGCTACACTGGCTGTCTTCATCTGCATCTGTTCGTGTGTATGCGATAAGAACGTGTCAATAGCTGACCAAATAACTTGTGGTAATGTTTCGGACTTCGGAATTTTGAGAGGTGAGTATGAATACGACGAGTAGCCATAACCACAAGGTCGCAGGTAGATCTTGATGAATTATGCCAACCCTAGGACTACGTCCAGGGTTTTCTGTTGACTAGTTCCGACCACCCATTTTGTCGGAATATCAAAAAATTCGAACTGTATGCCATAAATGCATACATATGTGTTTGTCATGAGCATAAACGAAAATTTGCGACACGAAAGATCGATGGACAGAAAATCGATATCGTTTTGCCTTTACTGTCTACCAGTCAATCAATTGAAAACTCAGATAATAAAAAAACATAAACATCAAAATATCACTATAATGAGGTGTAAAATAGAAACATGATTATTACGTGTTCACATAAAACCCAAGGAACATTGAACAGGACATACATTAATATTAAATATTTTATGAGTCTAATAAAAACTTTCCTTAACTGCCTGAGTACAGTGATAACGTAAGTCAATAAGGGTTGAGAAGTACCTGATATCATATAAGAAATGTTAATGAGATATTATGCAAGGGATGGATGATTTTGTTTGCTGATTAAAAAGGTGAGTTGAAAAAGAACTGTAACATTAAAAAACACTGAAAATGAGTAAAAAAAACAAAAAGTCTTGGAAATAATCTTTCGAGGTGTACTATTTATCATGAAGAGTTACTAAACAGACAAAAATTATCAATACCAAAGTAAACACAAAATATCATTGAGATAGAAAACGGTCGAACAAATGGATTTAAAACGCATGATCAGTTATCAAAATTATTTATTTATTTTTAAAGGAAAAACCCGTAATATATTCACTAAGTTGTTGGTGAACAGTTTGAAAGTGATTCTCCTTGGTAATGACCAAATTTCTCTTTTAGAAAGTTTGCATGTGACCTCTTATAAAAGCCAGTATAAGGTATTGTGTATACAATTTGAAAATTCATTACTACACACAAAACAGTAGCTAACTCGATCTATCTGAGAACTAAACAATGCAAAATAAATACAGATTTGTAAAGTTCAGTGATTTATCACCATCTAAATGTAATCTCAATAAAATAGTGCTGCATCTATGCGCCTAGAAAATCACATAATCCAAATATAAGTAGTTAAAAACGTCTTAAGAAATATATATATATATATATATATGGTCCAAATATCTGAACGAGTTATGATACTTTATGAATTATCTTGAGTTTTAAATACTAAAATATTGTTTGTTCGGTCTATCAAAGTTTAATTGATCATGAAGGAGAAAATGCAACGAATAGAGGAAGGCAAAGAAATTGTGTTAGTTCACTATTATATAAGATAGAAATTTAATGAATGATAATACAACCCACTGAATGCAAGGGGAAATGAAAGTTGGTTTTGAAACATTTGTATAGATCTTATTCTTAAAATGTCAACTGTAAATGTAGAACTGGTATAAAAGCAGATGAACTATTCCATACATGGAAAGATGCATATTGCGTTACTATTTACTTTATCTGAAGCAAAAGTAGGATGGAAGAAACTATAAGGTAATTACATTGAAATATCGCATGTGCACTAATCTGAACTATGATCTTCATAGCTATTAGACCAAAGCAATGTTATGGTATTTATAACAGTTAGTACAGATGAACTTCTGAAGTCATAAAACAAACAGATGTATTTATCATCGTGTGATTAAACATAAACATACATTAATTTTAGCCATGTCTATTTTAAGGTTTCTAAAAATGAATTTCTAGGTCTAGGTCTAAGGTCATTCTAAGCAATACTGCTAACCAATAAGATGGTGACATGATTCAAACATATAAAAAAACATCAAAAAGATGATGTCTACAACTTTTCCTTAGGCATTTCACTCATAGAAGTGGTAGAGAATATAACTTATGATTGGATACTTGTTGTCAGACACTATTTGCATGAAAAATAATATACACTCATCCTCACACGTCGTCGATCACAAGACTTTTGGATTGCATAACTACCTAATGATAAATAATGAAAAGTCTATTTAATTAACTCTTTATTTGACTACGATAGAAAAGTATTTCGCACTTCTTCATATACTTTTTAGGAAAAATTGTAAAGATATGTAATTATGCAATCTATGTTTTTAACGATACAGCATATTGTTACACACTAATATGTTCTAATATATTGATGAGTGAGCTATGTGGTAAGATATATCAACAGGTCAACTCAGAAAGTACACTGAATGATACCATAATTATTTTTAGAAAAATCGATGATCTATTTATCGATAAATATATTTTCCGATTGACAACACTTAAGTGAACAATATGTGGAAGATAAAATTCACGAAGCTAATTAGTATCAATGAATATGGAATAAGGTTGAGAAAGAAAATTGTAAAAGCTACTATTTTAAAGTGGTCAGAAGAGACTGTTGATAAGTGCTAGCTGATGAGTTGTATTTGTAGCAGTAAAAGTAACTAAAGATCCCTTTACTGAATGATAAAGACTGAATAGTTGAATATTAAACACTTTTATTTCACGAATGATACCATAAAAGGAACTTAGTACTGCGAAATTACCTTCCCTTAATTTGAACCGGTAAATTCTGCAAATGTGCAGTAGAAACGAAATATTTCTAGGGAAAAAGTTAAGGTTTTAACGTAAGAAAGGATATAAACAAACAATGGCGTTAGTAGCTGAAATCAAGAACGAACTGCTACTATCTTATCCGAGTACGTGCCAAACCAACTGTGTGTACACATAAAGTCTCAAAAACAAAGACGAGTCCTAGGTTAAGATGAAAGTGAGAATTTTAATAATTTATTAGAGT